ATGCCCCTTCCTCCCCCGCTTCCCTCCTTCAACACTGGCATGCAATCCCCCGGGCGTGTAATATCTAACTACTTTCTCTAACATTCAAAATGGCCTTTGAACAACAAAAGAAAGACATTTCTTTTTTTTTTCACGCCTGTGTAAACAACTCCATTCTCGTCCCCAGAGCCCGTCGTTTCTTGGTCACGTGGTCTTGAAACGAGGTTGCACTGGTTCGTTACAAATTAAGCCGAGTGGCTTTGGGGACGAGAATGAAATAACCCATAAATTTCCCTTAAATAGTTTTCGCGAGAAGCAGTGTGGACACCATTTGATCAGGTACATAGAGTATCTGGCTTTGTTAACAAATCCGCTGAATTCGTATGATGTGCCTGCGAGCAACTTCGCAGCAAGTTCAACCGAGGGCCGCCGAAGGGGACGGCTAGTTTTTTGGCACAATTCTATCGTATTAAATGGAAAGACAAGCGGTAAGTTCATACTAACTCATAGTACTTTTTAAACGTGAAAATATCCCACTACTTAAAGAAAAAAGCGAGAAAACCCGAGCTACTTCTGAACAGTGAAGTCGCACAGCGACACGCGGCAGTTTGTGGTGTGGTGTTTACTTCCGGTCGCTTTTATTTGTAACGCAAAATAACGAAAGATCCATAAAGAGTATAGAGAGATAAGGAGGGTAAGATGGCGTTTGTAACATTGACTGAGAACCCAGGGATACAGAGGACTAGAAATTCTAATGCAAGACTTAAACTTCTTCGTCGTGAGCTGTGTTGATATTGGTGGTGCAAAAATGCCCCAAATATCGAGTGCAGCCAATATAGAAATCGTTCATTAAGCAAGCCTAAAATGCGGATAATTCCACAGATGACAAGGAAGTTAGGAACTGATCGGATCAGATTTATCACAGACCGGACAAAATCATCAGATTAGATCACGGACTTCAAAAGTGAAAATACATGTAGTTAAAAAAAACATTAGTCCTGAAAAGTTTGAAACAATCAATAATAATAGTTATTATACATCGTACTCATTATCTGTCCTCTCATTGGCAACTGAGCTTACAGCTAATTTGGAAATCAGCGCAACTTACAGATTAGTTATCTGCTAGCAGATAACTGACTAATCTGTAGGTTGCGCGTGCAAAATGCATGATTTCTAATAACAATATCCATTCAAGTTCCTTGCAATAGTGTGTTTGTCATTATTTTCTTCAAAGCAATGTTTAGTAAAACAATTATTAGATTCGGTTTTGTGACATCCTAAAATAATTAAGGTCTCGGTAGGTGTTATCAGCCTCGGCCTTCGGTTTGGCTGATAACACTTACCTCGCCCTTGATAATTCTGGACATCAAAAAAACCTCATCCAATAATAATATTGTTTAAAATAATAATAATAATCAATTCCAAACATCTCCATCCCCTCAGGGGATTTGTCTTTTTTTTTCTTCTGTTTTTCTTCTTTATTCTTAAGTTTACTTGGGTTTCATGTTGTTTAGTTATATGATACCCCACTAGGAAGCAAATTCCTTAGCAGTGATTACTGTGTGTCCCCATCAAAATACCTCTAAGGACTGGAACAACCTAGACAATGACATTAAAAACAGCAAAACACTGTCCTTCTTTAAGGCACAGCTTAAAACTTTGTAAATAATGCCTTATCTAATATTGTTAAACTATATTATATGTTATTTTAAATCAATTTTCATCTCTTTTCTTAGTATGTAATTTTTAAAGTAGGTGATTTTTTTGGTGTTGTTGTTGTTGTCATTTTGTCATTTATGATCTGCAGGGCCCCACTGAAAACCGCTAAGGCAAGTGGGCTCCCTGGATAAATATTATTATTATTATTATTATTATTATTATTATTATTATTATTATTATTATTATTATTATTATTATTATTATAACCTCATCCTTGTGGTCCTTTGCAGAGTCCCCCACTTTGTCCCAGGTCCCTGTTTAGGGGATGACAAATGACAGGTGCATAAATCTGACAATGAAAATATTACATGTGGCATACGCAATGTTATTTTCTGTGTCCACTTTCATTTTTACTTTATGCAAATGTTTTCTTAAATTGTACTGGTAGGCTTTCAGTGCTGAGTTTTAAAGATGATACTGTAACGTTGCTAAGAGAGTAGTCTAGCCTTGCCCCAGGACTTCGGGGTGATAATCATGTGCGGTTCGTTAAGAGAGTGTAGACAGCCTTATTTGCAGTGTAGAGACGTTGTAGTCGTTATGGAACCCCCCACCACTGCTTTCCAGGGCTGATCCCTATTAAAAACTCCTGGGAATTCATAAATTAGACAATATAATTATATAAAAATTCCAATATTCTGCCCTACATGTAAGTTGTTTTGTTCAGCTGAATAAATTTTAGTTTTGTGCTGCCAGTAGCACTTTTAACAATTAATGGCAATAGAGAGGGGAAATGTTACAACTTGTAACCATAGTAGCAATCTTTTTTGACAGAGACTGCTATTTGCATGGTCGAACAATGGAAGAAAAGTATGGGCTACTGTTTGGTTCCTGACTGCAGTCATGCACAGCAAAGTCATGCATGTCCATTTCTTTTGTTTTTATCTGCCATATTTGCAGGACCAAAAATTTGCTCCCATGGCAACGTGACGTAACGACTTCTCTCTTTTATGACACCTTTTGATTCGCCATTTGCACATCTCCCATAAGACACCTTGTTTGCCGCCCAAAATTTGCATAACCTTTGTTTTTTATTTCTCCTGAGCATTACAGTGGTCCCAAGAGAAATAAAAGGGAATACTTACGCAAAATTTACGGGGGCAAACAAGGTGTACAATTGGAGATTTGCAAATGGCCAAGTAATCAATCCTCATTAACGAGATCAACAAGAACGTAACAAAAGCAATAGTTTTAGCCATCAAAACTACAACTCAGCACGTGCGTTACCCCTTTTGGTGTATTTCTTTGATTCCCACTGTACGACTACGACGCAAAACCTCTAGGAGGACGTTAACACAGGACGACGTTTTTTTTTTCATTATCGAGTTGGGTACGGTCGTTTAGATTACAACTGTACAAAAATTCGCTTACATTTGGTAAATTGAATGAAGATGAATTATCGCGAAAAAGCAAGATTGAAAAAGCTCGAATTATATCTTAGTAAAGTCTTTATTGTCGTTGTCACCATAGATGCTTTTTTAGAGGGGTGGACACCATAAAAAAGAGTCAGCCGCGGCGAATAACTCATTTATCCTGTTGTCTTGCAGCTTTCTCTTAAGAGTCTGTCTTTCAATTATTTGACCACACCTAACAAAGAAAGTGGTTTTAGCAGCCTACAATCAGCTTGCATCAAAGGAGATGTCGATACCGTCTTGGCGATCTTAAACCTCAGCCCAGATAAACTTGACAGTGCCATTGCTCTGAGTGTCAAGATTGGTCCAAATGCACCCCATTTTCCAGGTAAATCTATTTTAACGGTGTTAAAACATCAAGACACGGAAAAGCATAAGGAGATCCTTGAAACAGTTTCAAAGGTTACAGAGCATTTTCAGTCTCAATCACTTCTACACCTGGCTGCCAAAAGGGGAAATGTTGAACATGTTCGCAGACTTCTTGATGCTGGTGAACCTGTTGACGCCATGTGCTCATGCTCAGATCAACGAGAAGATGAAAAGACACCCTTAATGTTTGCCGCGGAGTTTAATGAGATAGACGTCGTGGAATTTCTTATCCAAAGAGGTGCTTCACTTGAGGTGACGGATCGCGGAAGCATGACTCCTTTTCTCCATGCTGTTAGTGGAGGAAGGATGCAAAATGTGAAACGCTTGGTTGAACTTGGAGCAAATGTGCTAAAAAAGACGCGCCGTGGAATGTCAGCAATTCATGTCGCTGCCGGACAAGGTAACAAAGACGCTGTATTCTTTTTGCTGGAACACGGTGCAAGTGCAGACCAGCAAGGTTTTTATGGTCTCACTCCCCTTATGTTGGCCGCAAGAAAAGGCTGCCTCGACACCGTCAAATTATTGCTTTCCAAAGGAGCAAACTTAAATGGATGTACACAGGGTGGCGACACACCATTACTTTTTGCCGCTAAAGAAAATCATACAGATTTAGTCAAATTTCTTTTAAAGAAAAATGCAAATCTTTTTGCAAAAAAATCATATGGAGAAACAGTGCTTCATTTGGCCACGCAACTGGATCTGGTTAGTTTCCTTTGTGACCAAGGTGCTAATATTCATGCGAAAGATAGTTGGGGGAAAACGCCTCTTCACGCGGCCGCTGAGAAGGGACAATCTGACACAGTTCGTTACCTTTTAGAGCGCGGAGCTGATAGCAATTCAAATGATGACAGGGGCCATACAGCTTTGTATTATGCCATCCTGGAAAACCATGCTTCTACTGCAAAAGTTCTGATTGAGAGTGGTTGTGAAGTAAAGCTCACTTTCAAAGGGGGTCATTTTGTCGATGAGGGCGAGGTATTGGAAACAGCTGCTCGTAAGGGGTTTTCTGGTATTCTCAAACTTCTCCTGGACAAAGGTGTACCTGTGGACGTCGTCAGTAGAGATGGAACAACACCTCTGATGGCAGCAGCCGAGGCTGGGCATTGTGAAGTGGTGAAAGTTCTCCTCGATCATGGAGCAAACATCAATGGTTTCGGTTTTCGAAACTTTGAAAGCGAGAAACACGAGATTGTATATGATAAAGGACGAGACGGTGAAGGCAGTGACAACGAGAAAAAAGAACCTGAACTTGCCAACATTCAAACACCATTGTATTGCGCCCTAGAAGCTGGAAAAGGTGAGGTGGCTAGACTTCTGATTGAACGAGGGGCTGATACCTCTGACCCTAGTGGAAACACCTCTTCGCTTTCCGAACTGGCTGCCACGCGCGGCCTTTCAGATGTTTTTCGCCTTCTTACCAAAGAGAAGAGTTTTGATTTTAACAAAATCAAAGATGATGGAGAGACGTTACTGACATCAGCAGCTACTAGCGGAAAGTTTGATTCAGTAAAATTTCTACTTGACAATGGTGCTGAAGTTAACGTAAGGAACGCTTCAGGGGACACAGCTCTTTCTTGTGCTGTTCAGTCCTGTGCGGTTCCAGATTTGGAAATTGTTAGACTTCTCCTCGCACATGGTGCCGCTGTCAACACTAGGAATGACCGCTGTGAAACACCTCTTCTTATCGCTGCAGAGAAGAATGCTGACAAAGTTGCTAATCTTCTTATTGAGCATGGATGTGAAACGAACAGTAAAAACGTCGGTTTTTTCTCCGCTCTACACTTCGCTGCTCAATACAACAATGGAAAGCTCATTGAGAAGCTGCTTCAGCATGGTGCTGACCCTAGTTTAAAAACTGATGATGAAGGCATGACTCCTTTGCACGTGGCTGCAAAATCAGGGAGTGTCCTCGCAGCCGACGTTTTGCTAGAATACGGTGCTGATTTAGATAGCACAACTCCCTTGGGGGAAACTCCCCTTCTGTTAGCAGCCCAAGAGAAAAAATTTGCTATGGTTTACTTCTTAGCAGAGAAAGGAAGTAATGTTGATGCAAAAAGCAGTTTTGGAAAGACAGTTCTTTTGAATGTCGCCATAGGTTATAGAGATTTAAAAACGTTTTCACTCGCTAAAACGTTGTTGGAGCTTGGCAGCTCTGTAAATGCAACTGACGAGTTTGGACGGTCTGTTCTGCATTATATGTCTTTCGGTGGCAATTCAGAAAGGGAATTTTACAACCTCCTTCTGAGTCATGGGGGTAATGTTAATCTTCCAGATAAAAACATGGAGACGCCTTTGCACCTTGCAGCATCTGATGGAAACACTGCTTTAATAGAGTGGCTCCTTGAGCAGGGCGCAGACGTGAGAGCGTTTGACAGGAAAAATCGCAGCCCGCTTCATTCAGCTGCGTACAGGGGTTGCAGCATCTCCGTGCAGTTGTTGATCCAAAATGGAGCTGACATTCACCTTGCTGACAACAAAGGGTGGCTGCCTTTGCACCTTGCTGCTGTAGGAGGGCACAGAACGACGTTTGAAGTTTTGCTTCAAAATGGAAGTGATGTCACACTTGTGGACAAGAAAGGAAGAACGTGCCTTCATCTTGTCGCAAAATATGGTCCATGTGCTTGGGAAGAGTTGTTTGAACTTTTGAACATTCATGGCGGCAACATTAATGCCAAAGATTTTAGTGGACAAACAGTATTCGGGGCTTCACTAACTCCCAAGAAATACATAGATGAACACCACTTTTTTACAAGGTTCCTTCAATTGTACATGGAGAATGGGGGTGACGTACATGCTGTTGACTTGGTGACTGGTCGAACAACTCTTCATGTTGCTGCAGCCTGTTCTCTTACTGATATTGCCGACAATCTTTTAGATGAAGGATTGAACCTTGAAGCAAGAGACAAGAACGGAGACACACCTTTACACAGAGCATCGGCACGGGGGACTCCCGATATGATCCAGAGACTTGTAGAGAGAGGAGCTGACCTGTATGCTGTCAATAAAAGAGGTCAAACGCCATTGCTGATCTGTGTTGCTCTCAACCTCTCTACAGAGGGATCCACTGTTTTAATAGAAAACGGAAGTGACGTAAATATTGCAGATAACAGTGGTAACACAGCTCTCCACTATGCCGTTAGACGTGGCCACGTTTTTCTTGACATGCTGATCAAGAATGGTGCTGTTGTTAATGCCGTCAACTCAGTCGGATGCTCTCCGCTCCACGTAACCGCTGGATATATAAAGTCAGCAGAAGCTATTAATGTTCTTTTAAGTGCAGGTGGCGATGTCCATTGTCGCGATAAGCAAGGGAATACGCCACTACACTTGGCTGTTGCAGAGGGCAACTACAACACCGCTGCAGTCCTCATAGAGAAAGGAAGCGACGTTCACGCTACAAACTTAAAAGGAGAAACGTGTGCACACATGATGTTGTTCGCACCCGAAGGAATGGTAGAGAAAGCCATAGTTGGCGGTGGACAAGGTAATGCTGTTGACGATTTAGGCAGCAGTCCTCTTCATCTTGCTCTGCTATCTGGATTGTGGCAGGTCGCAAAATGTCTACTGAAGAACGGCAGCGATCCTAATGCTGTAGATTACAAAGGCAGTACTCCACTTCATGTGGGCTGCTCTTCAGGAAACAAATCAGCCGTGTCATTTTTGATCGATCATGGAGGGTAAGAAATATGTTGCTTTAGCAATATTTCTATCGTGATTTAAAGGGGATGTGTCACGTATTTAATTTAATGCAATCAATGGGAACTCTTACCAAATTTAGTGAAACATAAAAATAATGCTCATAACATGATAACACAACAAATACAAAGGGGGGCATGGATGGACTTTTTTTTTTAACAGTCTTTCAAAGTTCATTTTTGTTGTAAGGTTGGATATTATCAGGCTTAGAACACATATTTGTTTGCCTCAAGGCTCAAGTTTCATAGCGAATAAGGACGCGTATCTGGCCTGATTATCATAAACAAACTGAACAACGATTTTTTAGCGCATCACAGCGTTGCAACGTTGTTGCGACATTGATTCAAATGGTTACAACATTGTTCCAACATTGCAATGCCGTGTTGAGCAAAAAATCGTCGTTGCGAATCGTTCCCGTGTAACATCACCTTTAAGTGACTTGAGTAGGTGCCAAGACAATAAAGCATTATTTTCTTCACGTGTTCTTGTTGGTTGCATTGGTTGTGCGTTGAATCTACAATCGCCGGAAGTCACGTGGTTCCCTATTTACAGTGCCGGGTCGCAGAATGTACATATAGGAAACTAATATCTGAGCTTCCGAGAGCAAAAGTATTTTCGTGACCACTGGGGATGATTGAGCATTAATCTAACAAAGGGAAATACCTTAAATATCGGCTTATACGACTTCGTAAGGCGTTTAAGGAGGGCTTATGAACGGCTGAGGGGGGGGGGAGCTGAACACCGGACCAAAAAGGCGCTTCACAACAAGCTACATAGCACTTCTTTTCTCGCTTTTTTAAGTTCCAAAATGTCGTAAACAAATCGATACAAGCTAGAGGGGGCTTATATCCGGGGGAGGATTATGTCCGGGTGCATTTTTTTTGTTTAGGGGTAGATGGGCCTATTACTGGGGGGAGGAGGTATACTGGGGGTATAAGTGGTAAAGCTTAGCGGAAGTTAACGGTATTGGCTAACCTCTTTCTGGGTAGATGGGCCTATTACTGGGGGGAGGAGGTATACTGGGGGTATAAGTGGTAAAGCTTAGCGGAAGTTAACGGTATTGGCTAACCTCTTTCTGGGTGTAAAGCTTGAAAACCCATTACAATTCATTGTCCACCATATTTCTAAGTGTTGTTCTTTCCCTTGCATTTGTTTTTCAGTCATCTCGAAGCACGAGACGCCAAAGGCTGTACGCCACTTCACATCTGTGCTGTGTTCAATCAGACGAACACCGCAAAACTTCTTCTCGATCGCGGAGCAAGTTTGGAGGCAAGAGACAATGAAGGAAGTACTCCATTACATCTCGCTTCAGCTTTCTGTGATGCAGACATGGTGTCATTGCTTGTGAAGCACGGGGCAAACGTGCAGGGAAAAGATTCTGACGGAAGTGTAGCTCTTCATACAGCTGCTGCTCTCGGTAGAATGGACATCACACGGGTCCTGATTGATGCCGGAAGTGATGTCAATGCACATGATGCAAATGGAAATACACCGCTACATGTGTCGGCAAGCTCTGGCAAGTTGGAAGTGGTTCGTTTATTACTGGATAAGAAAGCGGATATGAATGCAGTTAACAATGATGGTGTTTCACCAGCTGGTTGTGCTAAAGCATTTGGTCACAAAAAGGTAAAGCGGCTTATCGAAAAAAAGATGCTGCATGCGTGATTAACTTCGTGCCAGATAAGAGAATGTGAGAACTTTAACCCTCTAGCTATCTAGTATCAAATTACAAATTAGGCGTTCAAGTTCAAGTGTATTTCAGCATTAAAGTTGAAAATGTGAAAAACTGCTCTACCTGCAAATAACAGGACTATTCCAAGCGGGTAGAGCAAATCAGACAGGGTTACACAGTGGCGGATCCAGGGAAGGAGCCCGGGGGGTCCGCCCCCCTTAGTTTTAGACCAAGCAAAGAGATAATGAGTTAAGAGAGCGAATCCTTGTGCCTTGAATCATTCTCTCTTGACCAAACTGAGGTCCAAAGGGCCAAAAAAAATTGTTTTTGGAGATCGCCCCTTCCCTCCCCCCCCCCCCCTCCCCTATCTCAAGGTCTGGATCCGGCACTGTTACATACCCTAATAGCCTGTGTACAGACGCCCCCTCCCCTAAGAAAAAATCCGTGGGGAGAGAGAATCTATTCCCGATTTTTCTGAGGGGAAGCGGGCGTCTGTACACAGGCTAATACATTAAGGGCCAGTTGTTTAAACGGAGTTTTGCCAGTGTTTAACAAAACCGCCTTCTAAGCCAGTTTAATTTTTTTGCTAAACTCTTTTATGTAAACACCATTTATCGTGAACAGTTTCATGAGCATATGGTATAGACTAGAAAAGCATTTGTCTTCTTAAAATAACCCACATAGGAAGAGATCTGGAGGTCCAAAGATTTCCTAAACCGCGGTCTAAGTGAGACGTCGTTTAAATTACTGACTTTAAAAGTCTAAATACTTGTAATGCTTGTAGTACTTATCCGAGGGATAGCGATTTATCCGGCGGTTAACGCTATCTAACTTTTGAACTGCGGCTGATGTATATATGGTTTCTTGCAACGTAGTTGTACAGTATTCTGTAGACATTGTAAGTACATAGTTATTAATTCTATCCAGCAACATAATACTGGAGTTATCGGTCTAGCTGTTATAAAGGGGTGACGGTAAAGTAGTCTCTGGGTATAAATGGTTAACAAATGTTTTTTTTGCGAAGACAATGTTTACATTTATAAATTCGGCATTGCTCATCTCAGTATCCTCAAACCGTTCCGTTTTTAAATAATATTTTTCAACCAGGCACCGTTTCATCCAATTTGAATAGGAATAGGGTTCGCGCGCACCTTGAAAATCCTTGAACGTCCTTGAATTTTAAAATAAAAATTCAAAGCCTTGAAAGTCCTTGAAAATTGCAGTCGGTGCTAAATTAATAGTTTAAGGAGAACTGCAAAAACACAAAGACCTTCGGGATAAAATTCCCGTGATGTGGAAGAACTGAAAATTGACATAGACTCTAAGCTCTTTTTTTGCACTGTATGTAGTCCTTGAAATGCCAAATGTGTCCTTGAAACGTCCTTGAATTTTTTGTTCAAAAAAGAGTACGAACCCTGTAGAAAATGGGCGCAGTTACACTAACGTTTCGCAAAAAATTTCCATATCCAAACAATATTTATTTATGACGGGCAGTGTTTCATCCAATTTCAAGAAACCTGAAGTTAAAGAATAGAAAACTGAAGAGCCCAGGCACATTAACTTTTTACACCGTTTTTTAACAACACTAAATAACAACACTTGTTTGTGTTACAAGTCCCACCCAAAAATAGCGTGGCTAATCGTGTCGTGTGAGTAGTTTTTAGCCGTCTTTGAGATATGTGGACAACGTTTGATGGATTGGGCTCTGACTTTACAGTGAGTAACAGCAGGTCCGGTTGTGTTTCAACCTTTAAAAGTGATGAAGCGAGTGGAAGCAGAATGGGAAGGACGAGAAAACTAACTATTTTTGTCTCAGATTATTTACAACATTTGAAAAATAAAATAACGATTTAAAGGTAACACATCCACTTAGTGGTTCTTCGTCTACCTGATTCCTGTTAGTCTTTGAATTTGGAAATGTTGGTTTTTGCCGAGAGGGCAAACCAGAGTACCCGGAGAGAAAGCTCTCGAAGCAAAGGAGAGAACCAACATCTAAAAATAACTTAAAACCTGTCAAACCGATTATACCAGCTGAATGGGGGTACCTCGATAACACTAAACACTCATTTTTTGGCTCTGTAAGATGAAACAGTTTAATTTTAGCAGGAACCGGGCTTCTGAGTTTTGGCATTTTAACACTATCACCTTGGTGGGAAAATGAAATCAAGGAAAGAACTGAAAAAAAAAGCTTTGAAATCGAAGTGGATCAGTGAGCTTTGAAATGCAACTATCCTACCGGGCACGTTTTAAAGAGTGAAGCATAACAAAATAGGCACTTGCTATTTAGGAAAATGGAAATAAGTGGCCAAGTATTCTGAAGTGTCACTCAGAAGGTTTTTTTATGCGTCAGAAACTGAAAAGTCCTGATGCTATTTTTTGTCTCTGTCTCTGCCGACTTCGGTGAACGCGTCACGAAAATCACGTGCAAGACTGGGGGTAAATCGAGGATAAACGTGAGTAGGAAAATGAAATCAAGGAAAAAACTGAAAAAGCTTTGATTTCCAAGCGGATGTGAGCTAGTAGGAAGTATCACAGCTACGTTTAAACCACCATACAACGAACAAGGCAAAATACTTTTGTTATTTAGCGAGATGTAAATTAGTGACCACAGTGAACGTGAATGCGTCATGAGAATCATACGCCACCCTTGAGGGTAAATGTGAGGAGAAAAATGAAATCAAGGAAAAACTGCAGTTCGGCCCCGAAGTTTATTTTTGTTTCCGTCGTCTCGGAAACTGAAAACCACCTCGTGCCAATTGTAGTCTTTTTAGTAGGAGCAATTCCGACTGACCATACTGAACGCGTCATGAGAATCACATGCGTTGTATCCTTGAGAGTAATCTTTAGTTGGAAAATGAAATCAAGGAACGTTTGGCTACAGTGTATTCAGTATATGGTGCACAAGATATTCCTCCAATATATTTATGTCTCAGAAACTGAAAGCACCTCGTCCTATTTACAGCCTTTTTAGTAGGAGCTATTCCGTCTGACCACAATGAACGTGTCATGAAAATCATATGCCATGTATCCTTCAAAGGGTAACCTTGAGTTGGAAAATGAAATCAAGGACTTAGTTTGACTACAGCGAACGCCGCGTCATAAGGGAATGATTTTTCAAGGTGATGAAAGCGTTGCTGCAGATTTTCCCATGAAGAGCCCGGAGGAGAGTAAAAATTTGACAAGCTCAACGCAGCGTAAACCTGATCATGATCCTCAAATGCGAGCAGGACCAAAACAGACAGAGACCAACCTTGGTGCCCAGGAGCAGATTGACCAAGGTACAAACTGTTTAACTGCTAGTGTCCTTTTTAACCACTGCATTCTTTCCGTATGGATTGAACTTCCTTTTTTTATCTAAAGGAGAAAAAAAAATACGATAAGAATATTATCGAATGGTTTCACAAACACGACACCCTTAATTTGCCTGTTGCCAGAGTGGAATTTGTGAGTGGGGTGGAAGCCCACGATGGGAGGGGGGAGGGGGTAGTCCCTTAAATAGTCTATACGGGGATGTGCCGCTGGTCAGGGTATGGTTTTTGCCCTCTCTATCCTAAAACCAGGGTATAAAATTTTGCGCCAGACGGCGTCTGTCCTAATCAGGGTAATAATGAACAGGGTGTTGCCTGCACGATTGATTTGATTTTCTTGATGAGATTTGCTTGCTCTTCAAGTATACAAAAGCAATGACTTCAATGTGAATATGCTCAATTGCTTTTGACCGGTCGCCCTCAGCTCAGTCAAAAGCTGCACGCCTCCCTCGAATAAACACCGCACCCAATCAGATGAATGCGACATTTATTAGTAATTTACACCATTTACACAATTACGATTCTATCTCAGCATTATAGAAGAGACATTGTTCTGTCTTATATAATACAGTCAAACCCCGCTTCACGCTCCCCCACCCCCCCTTAAACGGGCACCTTATTATTACGGACAGTTTGCTTTGCCCCCGGGGGAAATAAGGCCCTTACATTTTCTCTTAATTCAACCCGCTTAATACAGACCCTCAGTGTCAGTAATACGGGGTTTGACTGTATTTATTAATGATTTACCGCAACTGTTATCGGTGATTTTAACATTAAGAACCGTGATTTTAAAAGAAAAAACATCGCCCTTGAGTAAACGCAGCATCAGAAACGATGAAAATTTAGTAAATTTCTGCAGCATTTAATCTAGTAAATACGGTTATCGGCTCTCTACGCCCAAACTTTGTGTAGTAGGTTTTTTTTATACATTGATGAGTTATTTGTTAACTGAGGTTCTTTTTGTACTTTTGATGATTTATCCTCTTCATTGTTTGAAGTTACACCGACAATACCCCATGGTTCCTTGGTTTCTCACGCGGTTCCTGGATCACCATCAGTAAACGCACCTATACAGTTGAAGAGTTACAATAAAGGGGGCTATTCAGTGGTAATTACTGGGGGCATTCTATGCTGCAACAGTGATGAAAAGGGCATTTTCATGATGAAAAGTGGGACTGAGTTTGTTATTGCCATAGGAAATAACAATAAACATGGTAAGAATTAATTAGGGGAGCAGGTTGATTTATCGCTACCTCATGTAACGTTGGATTGTGGATTCAACGCTGAGGATGCCGGATTCCAGGCACTAGATTATGGATTCCTTGACAGTGGAACTTGGATTCCGGATTCCTTGACAGTAGTATAATTCCATCCGGTTGTCTGAGACAAGGAGGTTTCCCTGCTGAGAAAGTAACGTTTTGTGTTAACTCCCGCAGGATACCCTCCATTATGGCCTATACCGGGTGGCTCCCCCCCTAAAGGGGTACTTTAAAATGTTAGGCTTCAGGTTTATGAAAGGGTAGTGATTTTATTGGTTGAAGTTTATTACAGCAAGGAGCCCAAAAGTGTGACCGCTTTTGATTTATTCACATTGTTTCGTGCAGTATTAATCCAATCAGAAGCCAGCTGAAAACTGTCCCCCACTTCTGACTGGTTAATGTCTGCATGAAAGAATGTGAGTTAATTAAAGGAGGTCACACTTTCGGGTTCCTTGCGGAAGGGTGGGGAAATCTGTCATTTCATTCGGTAAAAAGGCCCAGAAGGGCTAACAGAGGCATTTTACATGGTATGTAAAGGGGTCCCTTTTGTCAATACAAGGTATAGGAAAGGGGTACCTTTTATGTCAGAAATGGTAAGAGGTTTGTTCTTGTGGCGGACCCTCCTCATAAAAAACTTTGTTTAGTACCTCCACCGGTAGGCTTGCTACAAGTCAACCTCTCATAAGTTCTTGAAAAGTGATCGAAGCGAGCTTCAATGCATGAAGTCGCGCAGCGAACGAGCGAGCGACGCAGTCTCGAGGTCAACTTGTTTCCCCTGAATGGATTTGAGTCATATTATAAATTTACACGGGGAAAAAATGATTGACATATGCTTTGTCGGGAGCGGCATGAAATATCACTCACTGTCCTTTTGGTCAATTGTCATGACGTCACCGGTAGAATTTTCGACCAGTGAATTTAGTCCCAAACAGGTATGAAAAGTCCTTTAAAATGGCATAACCAACCATTAAAAAAATAAAGGACTTTTAAAAAGTCTACTCCACAGGGTGCTAACTTGACCAAAGGACAAGGGCGTAGATAAAAATAGCAACAGGAAAAAAAAGTAAATGTAAATTGATAAATTGGCTTTCATTAGCAGGGTTTAATCGAGGGTAGCCTGTATTCCTGATAATACGGTAAACTAAAATGTATATTATTTATTTTCTCTTTACCTGTAGCTGCCGAGGTAGACATTACATTTGGGGAAATGTACCTTGGGGTGTGGCTGGTGGAAGCCAATCGAGATCTTTTTCACAACCCACTGTTAATTGAAGGGTCCTCTTGGGCACCAGGCAGGCTTAAATACTTCAGTGTCTCAGACGACAACAAGCCAACGCCCAGTGATTTATTTGGTCCAAATCCGAAACTGAATGGCCCTATCATTCTTGAGTTTAAACCCGAAGTGTTGATGCTAAAGCTTTTTGTGAAGCATGTTTGGAGGGATGGAGAGAAGGAGGTGCTCATGCCAGATTTCCAGACAGCAACTATTGGAGCTTTAAAGGAAAGGATTAAGAAGATTTACAAACTTAACGTGTCATGCCTGATATTGGGTGGAAAAAAGCTACCTGAAGACAAAACCATGAGGTTAGTCTACAATAGAATGGTTGAGTTATATGTAGTGTGTATACAATGACTCCACATTTCTAACAATTATTATTAACCGCACATATAGGCAGTCCAATCTATCATTTTTCTCCTAAACAATTTCGTTAGTTAAACAGTAATATATTAGCAAAATGACTCGGAAGCAAAAGCGAAAAATCAACAGAAAGAAGAAAAAACAAAAACGTTCGGGAACAAATCCATAATCCATTACCAACCCCTACTTCCTTGTTAATATTTTACGTTCCTCGAAATGTTCACTAAAATTTTTTCCACCTAAATGAAGCCTAGGAAATGCCGAGCAAAAAGGCGAAAAAAGGCAAGGGCTACGTCCACCTTTTTTATAATTTTTAGTAAATTTTATTGCAGTTTTGTTGTGGTCCATCGGTGGACCTAGGACGTTATTGAAGAAGCTACCCGTACGAGTTTAAAACACAAAAATATTAAGAGCTTTTCTTGCCTTGTCCCTGTACAGCGTCTTCCTAGGCCTTCGCGGTCAATGCATTTCAGTGAAGTATCCGAGACGAACAGCCACGTGACCCAGGGACTAGGGAAGAGCTTTTCCTGATTTGTGTTGTATGAAACCTGGGGGAGGGAAACGCAACAATTTTTTTTAGGGGAATGCTCAGCTTCAAGGTCCAACCCCTTACACCTTTTAAATACCATTTTTGACGGAAAAGGTACCCTTTCGTATACCTTCTATTGACAAATGGTACCCTAGTTCACGTACCTAGTTTAGAACTTTGCTTCCCTTTTAACTGCTGTAATTACATTTTCTTTTAAATGTGAATAGATAACAAAACTGGAAAATTTTGTCGACTTGTCCACACCCATAAATCCTTCTGTTAGCCCTATTGTTGGTTTTCAGATGACGTCACTAAAATTCGAACTACAAAACTATCGATCCTACCGAGATTTTACTTTCATGATGTATTAGAGCAGATGAAAACTAATTTTCATACAAATTTTTGCTTCTATAGGGTTCTTGGTTTTGTGATAGAGTACGCGTGAATTTCTAAGCTTTTGCAGGAGCCGATCACGGTGGCTTTTGCGTGACGTCGCATTTACATGACGGCCAAGAGAGCTTTCATATAATTCATTTAGTAAAATCCCTACCTTTTCATATACCTGAAGCCTGAGAAAGGTACCCTTTCGGGCGGAACCTCCTCGTATACGCCATTAGGGAGCTTTTAAGCTTAAAAGCAACATCGACGCTGACGGCTAAGAGAACGTCACTTAAAAAGGGAGTTCGCGCTACTTCAAACGTTATCGCGTTTATTCCAACTCTTCTTTCAATTCTTCAAATTTTTCTGGAGTTGAATTCTAAAAGATTGTATCAAAGTTCAGGAAAAGAAAAAGAAAGTCGTTGTCTTGTGTTCACGTCCTCGACCAAACGTGAAATTAGGCATTTTCATGTTGTAGTCGTGCAGCGACGAGAAAGAAATGTACAAAAAAGCGTGATGCACGTACAAAGTTATTGTTTTGCCAATAGGCCATTTCCGAGTTCCCCTGGGCCTCTGTTTCAAAAGGAGGGTAGGTGCTCAGCCTTTGACATGGAAAACATTTTTCATTCTCATGCAAATAAAACTTTCACAGGAAAGGTTGTGCACCTAGCCTCAATGTGAAAGTAAGGGTTTTTGGAACTCAGAAGTGGCCTATTTAAACCTATTGCTTTTTTGCCGTTCTCGTTGCCGTCGCCCTCGTCGTTGCTTAAACTCCCTAATATTATAGGAAGTCCCCCTCGGGGTATAAACCTTTAAAAGTGCTGGGCTCGAATACCTTAACTGTTTACTACCAATAATTCTTTTTGCTTCTTATGATGTAAGATTAATTTTGTTTTTATAGCTCTTACGCCATGGAGAACACCAATGAGGTAATTCAGGTACTCTACGAAAAGGAGGAGCTTGAGATTCAGTATTCAGGAAAAGTTCTCACCATGATTATAGATCCTTCCTCCTTATCACTTGATGAAGTAAAAGGGTTCATCCAACAGGAATTCAGCATTCCAAAGTTACAACAAGATCTCCGTTTTAATGGAGAAAAGGTCGAGGAAACTGAGGGCCTTTTAGAAATATTTGTAAAATCAAAAGAGAAACCTGTGATCAGCGTGTGTATCAAAGCAATCAGCATCAAAGTGTGTCTCCCCGATGAAAGTTCACATGAACTCACCATAAATTGGCTTGCAACAGTTAATGACCTCAAGAAAAAGCTACAGCAAATCTGTGAGACAGTCGACATATTAAAGTTCAATGATGATGACATCAGTGACGAAGAAAGCAAGACGTTGTTCGAGTTAAAATTCCAAGAGCAAAATACAGTGTATGTACAGACCAGAAAGACTCAGGCTTACACAGGATACCCCACCGGCGATTTTGGGTAAGGTTATTTAATACTTTGCAACACTCTTTACCATGTTCATATAACTGTGTGAAATTTGCTACTGACTTTTACTTTGTGTTCATTCCTTTATTTACTTCAAAGAAAGCGCAGTCTCCTTCTCAGCCGGTTTGAGGATGTCACGCAACGCTCTCCCAAAGAAAAAGGGCATTGCCTCGTTGGTGGAGCATTGCGTGACATCCCGAAAACGACTGCGACGACGGCAAAAGAAAGCCATGACCAAATATTGTATTGTTGTGAAAGTCCTGGCAAAGACGTTTTTATTTTGGCAAAGACGTTATTTTTGTCACACACTCGACTTTTTAATATGCTGCATGGATTAATAGATCGACGCCAGTTTATAAACAATCCCCCGGGGGAGGGGGGGGGGGGGGATTTCAGTCAAAACCCGAAAAACACGACCAAACATGAAAAAAAAAGCCATGCAAAAATTTTTTATTGTGGGGAAAGTCCGGGAAAAAGTTTTTTTTTTTTGGAAAAAATGTTTTTTTTTTCCCCCCTTTTATTTTTTAAAATTGTGAATGAATTAAAAGAACGACCCCAATTTAAAAAAAAGCCCCCGGGGGGGGGGGGGGGGGGGCGATACATACAGAAGACTCCCATACAAAATAGATAGGGATTTCATAGAAAATTTTTAATTAAACCCATAAAAAAATAACTAATTTGGGCGTGGCTTAAGCCCTTTACCTCCAAAAGATACCAAAATACTTAATTGAATAGAATTTATGGTTGCTACATATCTATTCCCGTGCAAATCGAGACGAAATTTTGACGTCTGAAAATAGGAGCTTTTTCCTGGTCTTTCTGGGAATACCCTATGAGAGACTCCAAATCTGTAATTTAAAATCCTAAACAAGAGGAAGAGCAACTTTCACTCATGGAAGGCTTTCCCGGAAACGGAGTAGGTACTTTACAATATTACATACTTACTTTATTGTTACCAAAAGGAAGTGATTTACCAAAGTGATTTACCAAACGTTACCAAGGGGAAGTGATTTGTTGTGTAACTCTCGTTTGAATTGCCCCTCTTCAGTTTGGGATCTTTTCCAAAAAAATGCACTAGAAGATAAACCTTTTCCAGTATACTTACATTGCTCGATATCTCTTTCATCCTAAAAGGGCCCGGACAAGAGGATTTGGCTCTGGGCGTACCAGAGGATCTGATGACCATCCTGCAGGTAATTTATTCCATCCCCTTGTGTGACCCAGTACTTGGAAGTCATTGGGAATTCCTAAGGGGATGATGGCCTTATAGAGCCAAATTTTCAAAGGGAAGAATGAACCCGAAATTTCCACACTTCCGAGGAGTTGGGTAGTTGGGGGAAGGGTTCAGCCAATTTAATGGGCCCTCCCAGGGGGAAGAAGGAATGTAGATATTTTCTTCAGCGACACATTCAACAAAGCATTGCTTAATACGACTGACCTGTTTTGAGAACAAATGCCGACATTCCCTAACATCCCTTCACTGAATAGAGAGATGTCGTTACGTCACGTTGCCATGGTAGCAAAATTTCTGGATCTCAACAAACCGTGGTCCCCAGCCTCGTACCCATGCCAATTCGCGCTATCCGAGTTACCAGAGGAGGCTTGGAACCGAGTGCGATAGCGCGAATTTTCCCGACAAGCTTGACAGGTGACGTCACATCCGAAATCGCAGAGGATGACTGGGAACGAGGCTGCGTGGTCCCCCAAATATGGCAGAAAAAAACGAAAAAATTGAAATGACTTTCCTGTGCATGATTGCACTCAGAAACAAAACGGTAGCCCATATGTTTCTTCCATTGATCAACAACACAAATTACCGTCTCGGTAAAGAAAGATTTCGCACTTCTCCTTTTTATTCGATTCGCTCTATTCACACGTTTTTGTTTGTTTTAAGGACCAAGCACATTACGCGCCGAAACGGACGACATACAACTCGACAGTGTGGGAGGATCCTCTAGAAGGGTACAGCATATTTTTTATTCCATTTAGTATTTTTTCATCTAGACACCCATTCACGTAATGAGATCAAATTTCAGGTTTTTCTTTATATTTCTGATTTTGAATGGTATTGGCAACAGATCTCGGCTTGGTTCGAAACCTCGATTTTTTGAACTTGAATACTGATGTGTTGGTGTTCGCAATTTTTGGGCTTAAGATAAGGCGTTTGTTGAGTTTCCATGTTTCTGTTGATATAGTCATGAACTTACGTGTATACCATATGTATGGTACGGCCTTATCGACGTTTATGTCTTAAAATCGATACTAACGGTTAATAATAAACTCTTTTTCATGGCCGTTGAAGGAGGGCATTGCGATGCTTTGTGGCAATAAAGAGAGTGTTAACTGGAAGTTCCGTGTAGACAAAGAAGTCAAAGAAAAATGGAAATTTTCTAAGGAAAAGGCAGTTATACTCACAATTCAACTCATAGACCACTGGTACGTGTAAATTAGCTCACACACCTCTGCAAAAAAGCTTAAAGATTCTGCAGAAAAATTCTGTGATTGAGATATTTATGTAAGTTAGTTATTTCTACGTTTCGCGGCTGGGGCACCTGATGTCCTGCGTTGAGCGTCTTGTCGTTTGTCTTGGGTAAAAATTCCTTCAGTACCGTTTTATGAACGACAACTGTCAACAAATTAGGGGGCAGAACGCACCGCATCACCTGGGTAATTACCATTTACAAGGAAAAACCGGAAATTTCAGTAGGGAAATCAAATGGTTCGCCTCATTCTGTTTGGGACACTTGGTCAGAATGCAATTTTTTCTGCTCTGTTTAGTCTCTTCACCCTCAACATCAAATTCAATTGTTAAGTTAATTGCATGAGATTCCAACCAGATGGTCTGAGTAAATGTTAAGCATCCCTTGCTTCTCTTTATCATGTTGTTCCCCTACACTAGAAACCTCTGTCTCTCCATCTCTGTTAAATAGACAGGGTAACGTTCGCAACTTTATCCTGGGGGTATCTCGTCAGACAAGAAACTTCCCTGCAATTTCCCTGTCTCCAACACGATCTTGAAATGTTTGGTCGGGGAGGTTGCGAAACACGATATCTTGTTTGAAGGGTGGAAGGGAGGGTAAAACAAAGGTAATTTTGTGTCTAGACTGGGAGTAGTCTACTACACAGCCGTTTTTAGTGTCGTCACGCAACGCTCCTCCCCTGTGGGGAGGAGCGTTGCGTGACGACACTAAAAACGGCTGTGTATCAGCCTAGACTGGGAGCAGCTTTTTCTTCAAACTTTTTGAGGTAGCTTGTGCTGTCGCCTTTATTTCGTACTGCCCTCGTTATTTGCTCCTAGTGTAGTTTATGAAAAAACATTTAAACTACCCCTAAAACCTTTTATCTAGCTCTTTAGCTTGGCTTTTTCTAAAGCTGACTTCTTTTCTCCTTTATGTCAGCACGGGGGCATCGGCAGCGACAAGTTCTTCAGCATCCTAATTGCCGATCAAGGGATAAAAGGTTGAATGTCAACTCCTTGCGCCATTCGGTTCTGAGTAAAAAGAGAGATTTATAGTGACGTTTACGGTAAACGACAAACGGTTAGATTCAAGTTGAAAATTTCTAAGAGAAAATAGGGAGCTTAAGCAGTTACGACAGCGACGACATCGATAACGGCAAAAAAGCAATGGGTTTAGATTGGCTAATTAAAAACAACAACTCTGCACGTGCATCACGCTTTTTTGTACATTTCTTTGCCGTCACTGCACGACTACGACGGGTAAAGAGCTAATTTCACGTTTTGTGGAGAACGTGATCACAAGGCAACGTCTTTCTTTTTCTTTTCTCGAACTTTGATACAGTGTTTTAGAATTCAACTCCTGAAAAAATTGCTAACATTTGACGAAATGAACGAGATAGAATAAGCGCGATTAAGTTTGAAGCAGCGCGACTTCACTTTTAAGTGACGCTTTCGTAGCCGTTGCCATCTCTAATGTGCAGCTAAAAACAGTCCAAAACAACTGTTAAAGACAAAACTAACGTGAAGGCAGCAATTTGGGGGTAGAAGTTATTAACAGTGAAGCACAAGTTAAGGGAAACCTTGCTCATGTGGTTTAAATTAAACGTCTCTCTAAATCTCTCTAATATCTAAGTTCATCAACTCAGATTAAAAAAACCCATCTAATCTTTGGTACGTTGGAACTGACTGAGTGTAACTAGTTTTGTGTGGTTAAATGCATTGTAGCTGCGTTCACAATCGATAAGGAGACGTAAGGACTGCATTAACTTTGCAGGGGGTCGACTTAAATGAAAATAATAAATAAATTAATTATGTTGCGCGTTTTACCACCCATGCGCAAACCTGTCTAGCAACAAATCAGGTTTTTGCAAGTTGAGTGAATACTAATTTCTGATTTGATAAAATAAGTGAAGAGTCACACCATACACGGAGGTACGTCGTTTGTTAAAATGCGCAACATGTACATCGCTGTTGAACTCGTTTTGCAGCAATGTTCTAAAACATGTTTTAGGCAGAACGTGAGAATTGCCATTAAGAAGGACAGCTCACTAGTGTTGTCGGTCCTTGTTCTTTAGTAAGTGTACAATGCGAAACATCACTTAAGCTAACGTTTCAAACTTTATTTGCACTGAAACTTGGACAGATGCTGTAATTGTTGCTAGTAAAAGGCAGCTACACTGATGGATAAAGTGAATGAAGCAGAATGGCAAGAACGAGCAAAGTAACATTTTACAAATCAGTCAATTAAAAGGAGCTGTGTCACGCAATCCTAGCGAACTGGCCACCACACTAACTGACAAAAAGTGCTTAAAAAGGTAAAGGAACGTTCGTAAAAGAAGGCACGGATGGACCCTAGTGAAGAAGGTAAAAACGGATTTCAAACGCAGTTTTTGAAAACCCTTCAGCTTGTCAGGTTTTTGACCTGAATCTGTGTTGTTGCTAATGTTAACACTCGCGAAGAAGTTGTGATTTGTCTTTTAGAAGTAATGGCTTTACTAACGGTAAAAGAGTTTTTTACGTGCAAATAACAAAACTAAGCAAAATGGACTATTGCCGTGACACAGACCCTTCAAACTTTTCCTCGTTAAAACAAAATCCCTCGCAATCACGATGTATGGGAAGTAATTCAGCTTTTTTGCTCTGTTGTTAAGGTTTGCCCATTCTTGAAAATTCTTTGTCGTAAAAAAACTCTACTCGTTTATGTAACAGTTATTTTCATATACACAACTCGCATACGATCTGACGGGAACAATAGGGCCATTTATACGAGGAAAAATAAGACGCGAACTTTCCGTATAAACGGCACATTTCGTCTAAAATAAGACGCGACTTAGCTAAGAACCGTCTTATTTTAGAACAGCCCTTAACACCTGTTCTTAGGTAAGATGCGCCTTAGCTAAGACGAGAAAAACTTCGTGTAAATGACCTTCGCGTCTTACATGACATGCGAACGCATAGTACGCATGCGTTAATTTTTGGCGGGAAAATTATCGCTTGCCCCACGGTGGATTGCCAGGCCACTGGCGGGGAAAAATTGTTTACATATTACAACGCGTTTTCGTTTCCTTGTCTATTCTGCTTTATTTTTTTCTTCGCTCAAATACAATGAGCATACCGTTAAAGGTAAAAAGAAACACTTTGTCCATCGCGGAGGAAAAAGATTTTTTGTTATTATGTAAGGAGAAGGCGATAACAGACCTCCTGGACAACTACGTGACATCTGCTGGTGTAAGTAGACCCTTTTAACTTTAAACTATCACAATTTATATTTACTAATCATATTGCTATCTTCGTATTATAAACTTACATTTTAAAAGTAAGTTTAAGTGTACAGAAGACTTAGATAAGACATGCTCGTATAAATGGTCCAGTTCGCTATTTAAGACGCGTCTTATGTAAGACGCGTGTTATTTTTCCTCGCATAAATGGCCCTAATGTGGATGCCAAAAGCGTTAGTAGGTGCAAAGTCAAAGATAAAACTTGTCCTACGTGTAGCACTGACTTTTCTGTATGGATTTCTTAACTAATTTGATCCCAGGTTTTCTATTTTCAACTACAGTGCATGATTTATTAGTAATTAACCGTCCAACACGATCTCTAACATTAATTAAAGATGTATTCCTTAAACCTCACCGGTTTGACTGATTCTACGAGTTAGGGTGCATCTTACAGGCTAAGAGGGTAGTGCCTTAACTTTGCCAAGAGAATACAAAGAAGGTCAAAACAGAAATATGGAAAGTCCTTCTCAATTTTAAGCATTTGACGAGCCGCTCACATCTAACAGTTTCATACCGGACACTGGTCTTGGTGAATAACGCTCTTCGATTTCATTTATGATCTCCTCGTCGTCAGGAGCTTCTACTGTTAACGTTATGTGTCCTGGTTTCTTGCTGCTGTCGTCGCTGGCTACGCTCTGATTGTCATCTTCCGAGGCAGAGTCGTTTTCCGATTCATCTTCGTTATCGGAAGAGTTATCTGATTGGTCGTCCGCTTGCGATGCCTCTTCCTCGAGCCGTTTCTGTTCTCGGTAACAAATGAGCTTATCTAATAGCTCTCTTTCGTTGTGCTTTTTCATCACTTCATCAAACAACGGAATGTTGTCGCAAATATCATTTTCTGTAAAGTCTTCGTCCGTTTCTAGAACCATCATCATCATTATTTTCTTTTTCTTGGAGGCATTTTCTGGTTCAAACCACGTCGCTTGTCTGATGTCTTCCATGCAAATGTTCCTGAGCGCGTATTGAACGTTTTCCGACATCTCTTCGATGCTGTCCAAGTTGAGCTCAAACTGATTCTTGGGTTCTTTGTATGCAGGTTTGATTGCCGGACCGACTTGCTTGCCAACCGCCTTCTTAACGGAATGCAACATAAAGTCCAGAAGTTCGTGCTCGTTGGACTGTATCGACACATCGTTTGCAACGGTGTTCAGCGCATCGTTTAAGATTCCAATAAACACATTCATGAGTACAAAAAACACGGACACAACGTAACCGAAAAAGAACATAGGACCCAATATTCGGCTCGAGTCCGTCAACGCGTGAAAGTCGAAACTTCCAAGGGTCATAGACATCATGCTACCAAGCGTTGTTGGAAAAGTGGCGTATTCTTCATTGTCCACTCCGAAAACCGCGTACGCGAACTGACAAAATGCAAGAAATAAAACGAAGAACAACATCATGAAAGACATCAGCGGCTTGGAGGCTATTTTGATGGTTTGGATCAACAGGGAGACGCGACGGTTGAACTTCAGCAGGCGCAGAAACTTCAGGACCGAGAAAAACACCGCGAAAGCTGTTGTAGCGGACACCCACTCATCCAAGAAAGCCACGTATTGAAAACTGACGAACTTTCCGGGCGTTTCGAGCATGTTACCAATGGTGTACTTTGTGATGGCTAGACGTGCAAAAAACAACCCGACGGCGGATAAAGAAAAGCAAAGAACCAGCAGCTCGGGATAGTTCCAAGGATCTCGGAAATAATCTCTTCGTTCTTTTCTGTACTTCTTGACCTAAAAACAGGGAAATGTTGATCATTATGCGTTTCCGGGAAACTGCCCACCTACCCTTCCCCTAAGCCAACGTTAACACAGGGCAAAATATTGGCTTTGGGGAGGGGTAGACGGGTAGTTTTCCAACATAAATCGCCCCATGTAAGGAAATCCGGATTCCGGATCCGAGGAATTTTTGCTTGGGAAATCCGAAATCCTGGGCTTTGGAATCCGGAATACAGCTCAAGGAATCCGGAATTCTACTAACGATTGGAATCCCGAATCCACGTTCCACTGACAAAGAATCCGGAATCTAGTGCCTGGGATCCGGAATCCAGGGCGTGGAGTCCAGAATCCAGGACTGTCTTGGATTACCTCACAAAGGGCGATTCTTTCCCCATCATAACTGTGAAATACCTTTTTTCTCTTTTATATTTCTTTTACTGTTATTTCAAAATTGCAACGAAAAGTAGATACAAAATTTGGTAGTAAAAGTTGATAGAATGTTATTATATGTTTAATACTAATGACCTTTATGATATGGGGAGGTAGGGGGTGACGCTTTTACTCGCTAAAACGACGACTAAGCAGAAAGCGTGTCGTTATTACGGAATTGTTGTGAAAGATGACATGTTTAAAATTTACCGACCAAATTGGAAAATACCAAGGGCTGCCAAGCAATGCAAGTGATCAGCATGAAGGATGCGTTTGAAAGGGCTCGGTTCGATTTATACTCTGCCTTACTATCCGAGGTTCCCTATATAGAGGATCCCAAAAGGGTTCTTCAATCCCGCAATCCCGACTCAAAATTTCGTGCAATCCCGTTGTCCCGAGTGTTATTTTTGGCATCCCGCATCCCGCACATTCTCTCAATCCCTCATCTCTCCCCGATTTTGCTTTAAAATCCCGAAACACGGGCTTTAAGTAAGGGAAATCCCGGATCCCGAAAAACCTACTGGGGACTCTCTATACAGGAGAGGAGGTCAGAGCATAGCCTGAGTATTAGGCGTTTCTGGGGGAAAAGGGGAAGGAAAGAAGCGAAAAAGGGAGCCCATCTTAAAACCCCTCTCCCCTAGCCCCTTAGGAAGGTCTGATACTCAGGCTAGTCAGAGCAGTAACAACAGAACACAGAAGAACAACGTCCAGACGCACACTCGTCCGGGTAACGGCGGTCGGAGTTCGCTGGTGACATTGAGTGTGGCTCACTAACAGTTACGATAAAACAAACACAATAAACATCGCCCTATGGAGCTCAGATAATCATTTACAATCTTATAGATCGTTTTCACTTACGCGGTCAGCGGTTATGCAAATTTCTTGGAACAAAAGACATTTTTTGCATAGAAAAGAATTAACAGTTGTACACCAACATGGCCGCCGTGACGTCATGTGAAAACGATCTATTCGTATTTTCGGTTATCCTACCTGCTTGTACAGGAAATAAAGCAAAAAGGCCATGTAAGTTATTTCACAGGCCATTACGAACGCCATTTCCGGTCCTACATAACGGTAAAGCCTTAAAGTTTGAATTTTCGGATGGTGATAGTAGCCCCCAGTGGGTAAAATCTCAGATAACAGTGTGATAACGCTGAAAAAGTTGGTCTGAGCATTGTAGATCGTAAACTCAGCGAAGATGGCTCTCGTGTAACGATCAATCCAGCCATTGGATTCAAGGTGTGTAGTTAAATCTTCGGCTTTGCTGCGGTCATCTCCGAAGTCTGCTACGTATCCTAAAGAGAGAATACAAAAGAATATATATTACGGTGGTGTTATTGATTCTTAAGACACGAAAGACACGTTGAAGTTAAAGGGAGAGTTTTGTCAAACAAGCTTCTAAACATTACTAGACGCCCTGTTGAAACGTGAAAAGCGAAAAGAGACTTTGCGAGTTTCGGCCCCCCTTAATTTCTAATAAGCAAATATGTGCAAAAAAATGCTGAAGCTGGGGCTTAAGCAGTGTATTTAAGCAATAGACCACACTTTCTATGGTTTTACCGACATGATAACCCACTTGGGATGTTGGGAGAACACTCGAAAAGCTCGTAAATCAGGTGCCGAAGGCTCAAATAACTTTAAGTAAAAAAGAGTTTTCTATGAGTTTACAATAAATCATAGGTTTTTAACCAATCATAGGTTTTTAACCAATCATAGGTTTATAACCAATCAGAACGCGGCACCATTCTATTTCTTTTATAACGTAAAAGAGACCGCCATTGAGCTAAGATTTCAACGCATGATTCGCCGGGTTTTCCTTGTCTATACAGCGATTAAGAGCCTAAAGGGCTCCACTAGTAGAGGTTCGATAAAGTATCGATTGTAAACTCCCGTAGCATGTTCCCAGACAAGACAATTCTGTTTTAAGATAATAGCCATAACTTAACGTTGTTCATCTTACGAGAGGAAAAAGCGCGCCAATAGGTGTAAACGTGAAGAGACGAAAGACAGGACAGTGGAACAAGGGCTTTTCGCCCACTCTACCACTCCTGAGAAAAATGAGGGACTGCTCGTAGATATTTTTAAAGAATACTTACCCCCTCCCCAGTAAGTCGCAAACGTGCCCCAGTACGGAGTCCCCTTTAGGGCCCATTGTGATTGATAAGTCCATGGGGATGGTTCCACTTCTTCGCCTTCCGTGCTTTTATTTGAAACAACTGGTTCCCAGCGCCGCTTGTACGATTCTGAATCTTCGTTATCCCAGTCATAAGCTACGTTGCACTCATCGAAAATGTTGCTGAGGAAAGGTATCAGTTTGCATTTGTCTGCAGGGAGAAGAAAGCAATAACTTAACATTCGTTAGCAAGTTGGTTAGTTAAAGGGGCACGATCATTTGTTTCCATGGTTTGTTGCGTCGTGCAAGGAGACCCTCCCTAACCGAGTCGTTGGGTTGTCTGTGATTTGGTGGGCAGTCTGTGCATGTGGGTAGGGCTGTGATATGACAGCAATGTTGGGAGAAAGAAAAGACATTTTTAGTTGAAAAGGTGCTTCTAATAGCATATTTTAATATGGTATTAAATAAAGAGTGAAAATATGTCTACAATAGAGAAAAAGAATAGTTAGGAAAAACTGTCAACAAAACAATGGTAGTATTAGATACAGTTGAGTGCATCAGTTTGATCATCGTCGGCTCTTAAATGGCCTTTGGGGAGAGGTTATTTTAGCAAGTAGGACGCAACTCGGTAGCGGTTTCCGTTGTTGAAGGGAAGCCGTTGTAAAGAGGGTGAATTGAATGTATAGACTGTTCCCCAGGACCCCCAGGGGTGGATCCAGAAATTTTTGATTTCGGGGGGAAGGGGGGGGAGGGGGGCAAACTTTGGTTCAGACAGGATCTAGGATAGATACTGACCGATTTCCTAAAAGAGTGCCGAATCGAAGGCGCAAGCTTCTTGGGGGATCCGGGGGTATGCTTCCCGGGCAAATCATTTTTAGATTTTAACTCCCTAAAGTCTCCTTTCCTGGGTTTCCGAATCATTCAGACAGGATATTGGCCAGTTCCATTCACCTTGGATGAAGCCCCTCAACTTGGAAAGTTTTAGATTTGTTAAAAATATGTCGACTATGAAAAATCTGATCGATTCCCGTAAAACGGTGGAGACTGGTGTGGATCCGCTTTTGTGTGCGTTCAACTTTTTTGTGGCAAATTACCTCTCTCCCACACCCCCTCCCACCAGTCGAGGTTGCACGTTATAATTCCTTGGTCCCTTATTTTACTCGTAAAGGATACATAATTGTCGACCAGCTGGGAAAGCACAGACGACCCCGTGTTTCTCAATCTGTGAACGCCGGTCGCCGTTGGCTCGGGAAATACTGAGAATAGGAGGGTACCAAAAACAATTACATTTTTGAATGTCCCTGGAACTTAATTTAGTGGCAAATTGCAACGCGCGTTTCAATAAAAAAAATCAGCCAGTTAAAAATTGATATACAATTCTGTCGATGTAAGAATTTCATTTTCAAACAAGCGTCAGGTTTGATGGGGGAGGGGAGGGGGGGAGTCCGGACCTCTCCTGGATCCGCGACTGCTGTTGGAAAATGTTTCATCGGTTTTGGGGGGCGGAAAAGCCATTTACTAGTTACTCTACATCGGTGTCGACGGGGCCTCATAGGCTCTATTTCTGACCAATATCTTGAAATAGACTGCAAAAAAAAAGCAACACACACCTTTCTGTATCCTTAGTTGGCGCAGCCTGGCGGTACCCACTAGTATAGCAGTGCTGTGATCCGCTACAAAGCCTTCATTGTATCCATAGAGTACATTAAAACCTGTCTCGATATTACTGACGACGATCTTAGTCTTCTTGACCTTTTTACTTTTCTGTTTATCGACTTCTTCTTTACTGGATTCTTTATTAAGGATTTCAAGATCGTCTTCGTCAATGGCAAAAGGTCCGTACCAGAATCTAGGCATTAGAGTGGGGATAAACGTCTCTTCGACCCAGCTCCAGTAAGAGCGGTAATCATCCACCTATAAAAAGAAAGAATTTCGGCGGTTTCACAAACTGGGACCTGCCTCGTCCTCAGTTGCTTGCGATCTCTTTTTAGGGGATATTTGAGTTAATTATTAAGGAAACCGGGCGCGAAAGGTGTGACGGGAGGGGAGGAAAAAGCTTAGTCTTCCAGTGATGGCAAGGGGGCTTCATCGCCTAAATACTCCGCCATTCTAGATATCTGGACGACTTTTCACATTTTCGAGCGTTTAGCAGTTTTTTATTCCTTCCCATCATTCCCTGCTCGCGCTCTGCGCTCGTTCCCATCATCCCCTTCTTGAGCTTCTCGCTTGTCTCCAGCTCTCTCGTCTCTCGCTTGTTCTTTCTCCCCACTAATCGCCTAGATCGAAGACGCGACACCCCGCTGTACAGTTCGGCACTCTACTGGCAAAGTTATTCTACTGCGGTAAAAAATAATTTCTCCACTGTAGAAACTATAGGGGAGACGGCTACAAGTTCTTGGTGCAACGATTTCTGGGATTGTTTTAGCGGATAAGCGTTACTTATGATTGGTCGATGGTTTTCAAGGCAACCATTAACCAATCATAAGTAACGCTTGTCCACCAAAACAATCCTAGAAATCGTTGCGCCGAAAGCTTGTACCTATTCCTCTTTTAGTTTCTGGATTGGAAAGTTAAGGATTTACAGAATGCGTCCTTTTAGACGATCTTACCTCGTCGATCCCGTCATTTCCTGAATAGGTCGCCTCGTCGAAAATATCACGCATAGCTCTTGTCACAGTAAAAGCCATAGGGTCACGGCTACCATACGCAATGACAAGAAGTACGCAGAGGAACACGACATATTGGATAACTTCTCGGATAATGATCTTCATCTCCTTCTGTTTGACTTTAAGCTTACGAGCTGCTTCTAGTTTTGCTGGATCAGGTGGTTTATCGACGAAACCAATTTTGCGCAGCGCTTTTTCTTCCTCACTGTTTTTCTTCTGACTGTGTAGAGCTTCCTCATCCGGATTGAGTTCGTTGCTTTCCTGTTCGTTCTCTTCTTCCGCTTTGTTCGGATCTTTAACAACGACGGCAAAGAACATGGCAGCTGCGAACACCTGGAATGGAATTAAGGGTCTCTTCGATTGACTGTATTCCGGAATCCGTGAAATTTTTGCTTGTGGAAACCGGAAAACGGGAAAATTTTACTTGTGGTATCCGGAATCCTGGGCTTTGGAATCCGGAATACAGCTCAAGGAATCCAAAATCCTACTTAGGATTGGTATCCAGAATCCAAGTTTCGCTGACAAAGACTGGACTCAATTATCTAGAATCCGGAATCCACGGAGTGGAATCCAGAATCCAAGACCGTCTTGGATTTATATGAGGCGAAGGAATAAATGGAATAAACTCTAGAAATCTCTTGTTTTGGTAGCCTGCGAATACAGCCCTCTCTCCTCGTTCCTCGCTGCTAGAGACCTTTGGCGGGAGAGAATCCTTCAGCGAGCATAGCCTTCATAGCATGGTGGTTTTGTTGGGCGCACTACAACTGATCGGCGAAGCCCACCCCAATCTCCTCGCAGTTTCACTGCCCTCGCCCACCTTGGCTTGTTTTGCGCGTCCGACCAAAACCGCTATGCTATACGAAGGCTACGGCGAGGAGTAAGGAGACAGCTGTATTCACAGGCTATTGTTTTAGCATTCACTGCATTACAATACCGTAAATCCTCTATTAAGCAGCCCGGAAGGCTTATTTATTTCAGCCACATTTGATGGGGCGCTTAATTGAGAGGGGGCTTATTTAATTTGGAAAAGACAACGGTATCAGTTCTCCCGAAAGAACTAGAATACAAACAGGAAAAACAGGATCAATAACAAATCTGAACGGCCAGTTGGTGAATAAACCATCCTGGATCAGTCCACATGAAGTTAATTTTACATTCGTGATTGATTAATACAGTGAAGTGAAGAATAATAAGGGGGAGGGGTGGGTTGGGGTGAGGGGGTTAAAAGAGAGGGGGGCTTATTTGAGAAGGGAATTAATAGAGAATTTACGGTATCGAGAAATCGGCTTGAAATAGATACTTGTAGTGTTTAAATACTCCAACGGTAGAATAGATTTTAAAAAAAACGTTGTCGTGTTCTTATTCCGGAATAACATCAACCGAAAGCTTTTTAATTGGAAAAGTATTGAATTGATGATTTTTTAACGCAGCATAAAAGGATATAAAACCCAGTTTACTGGTGTCCAGACAAGATTTTAAGCGTGCGAATTTTTTAACTGTGGGACCCGTTTACACGGCGCTATTTAAATTTTAATAATAATAATAATGATAGTAATAATAATAATAATAATAATAATAGTAATAATAATAATAGAATGATTTTATTTGACCCCTGAAATAGGTAGTAGAATACTAAGGGGACAGGGACAGCTTCGAATTCTAAAAAGCTAGTAACACCAGTGATACCAAAAACTCACCTTAAGAGGCTGTGAAATGAGCACATCTTGCCAAAATGAGATCATCATGGACGATATCCATCCTTCGGACTTCTCTTTCCCAAACGTTAGACCGTAGAAGATAGTGAACGTAGCAGACACAGTGCAAGTGATAAACACCAGCACGTACGCTATGTATACAAAACAATGAGGCAGCGTCTTTTTCTTTTTCTTTTTGTCCTTTTTCTTCCCATCGTCTTCTTCCTCTTCAACTTCTTCTTCTTCTTTAGTCACGGTCGCATTCACTTCTTCCATTTCGTATTTCGGACTCTGACCGTGAGGGTCCTGGTTCTTATTCAAGCCTTCTTTAGCCTCCTTAGGCCGCGCCTTCCGGAAAAACGTCACGATCAAGATGTTTGCCGGAAGAACAACTAAACTGCTAGTGATGCCGATGGACAGTTGCTTTATGGAAAAGCTAAATGGCCCCACGTGAACAGATGTTCCTGAAGATGACTCGGCACCCACTTGATAAAACATTGCGTTGGCAAGCATCGTGCTAAGCAGTACTGAGAGACAACAGGAAAGACGTTGTACTCGAGTAAAATTGCTCTTCGCTGGGCGCGCTACCACCGAAAACCACAAGTGGTTGTCCGTTAAGTTTTTGCGCGCTTCCGTGGAGAACAGCAAATTGAAGCTTGTGAGCTCGTCTTTCGAAGCCGGGATTAGAGTTCGCTCTACCAACCCATCATCCTCTTCCACGGCCAGCCATCGATCGCAGATAAACCACGTTTTTACTTCCGTTTGCACGTCATGAACCATAACCCTAAGAAGGTACCAGGAGGGGGTGGGCCCTGTATTGTCGTGCCAGATTTTTAGAGTCTTAAGCTTTCCCAAGCACTGTGGCACGCTCAAAAGGAAGTAGTCGACGTTTCCTCTGCAAAACTTTCGCCGACCAGGCTCCGTGTCTTTAAGACGGCGCGGGGTCGTCTCGTCAAGGCCACCCGTGAGCACAATGCGAACCTCAGATGATGTTCCCGAGTTACTGACAAATCCCGTGTAAACCACCACCTCGTACATGTACGTGTCACGTGGGTCATTGTCTGGTAATGGAGCCACGCCCACCTTGGAAAATAGAGGAATGAATTGTAACTAAGCCCGCGGGCAAGCTCTCTAATTCGGGGAATCGCGAGAAGTCACGCGTGAACGGCACGCGAGAGGAGGCGCGAGAACGGGAATGGGGGAAGGAAAGCGAGAGCTGGCTCGAATTCACCTTCGCCCCTCGTGGCTTCGCCGCTCTCTCTCGCGTCCCTTCGAGGCTCCCAATAAACAGCCTGCTTATAGGTTATTATAAATTGGCAAATTTATACATTATGTTAGGAAATAAAGAACAATAGGGAAATTCTTAGTTTCCTTAGAGCATAAGGCCTTCCTTAGGGGTTAAGAGAGGGGAGTTTTTTGAGGGGGAGGGGAGAAGAGAGAGGGGAAGGTTAGGGTCTCTCTCCCTTCTCTGTGTCCCCATTTCGCTTCTCTCCCTTCCTCTCCCCTCCCCCTTAGAAATGCCTGATACTGAGGCTATGGTTTCCTACAAAACCATTCACCACTGTAGAAACAGGAAGAAAACTGGGTAGAGTTGACTTTCGCAAAGATTTCTGGGACGATTACCAGAGTCAGCGGAAAAATTGGCCACTAGCTGACCAGTACGCCCCCAGTAACGACCCCAGAGGTCTTTGCGAAAGTTAACTCGGCCCATTTTCCTTCTCTTTTGTAAAGTGGCAAATTACTGTGGCCACTGTCGACATTGCAAGCAGTTCAGCTTGTATCAAGAAGTGCTAAGCAACGCGCGCCGTATCATACCCCCCCCCCCCGAGTTTTTGGGCCCAAGAAGTCAAAACATGCAGGCATAATAGTTGAAAATACAAATTCATCTCCCAGAGCATTGAAGATGTGTTTGCAGCCAGGTGAAACATTTTCTGGTTTTAAGGTACAGTCCAATGGGTCCTCCGCACCCAAAACCCTCTGCTTTTGAAATACAATGAGCTCCCTAAAATCTTGCTACCCCCTAGTTTCTAAAGGCCTGCTACGGTCCTGCAACGTCATTAAGGTGATAACTCGAATCGACGTTACTGAGCAGTATCTTCTTGTTTTGCTTTTCATTATTTAGGCAAACAAATCAGTTGTAATACCTTATACGCCTGTACTTACCTTCTCTAAGTCTTTTCTGTCAGCTCGCCTTGCCCATATCAAAAGAAGAAAGTATAGACCAAAAATTCCGCAAACGACAGAAAACACCAAGGGATTTTTGAGAAGCTCTTCAAGTGAAACTTTATTCCAGTCGATCTTGTTTGGCGGTACGAAGAAGTCGCTTGCAAAGGACGTCAGATGATTGCAACGACAGTGGCGTAACTTTACCGTTGTTTTGGGTCCAGGCTTTAAGATAAGAAAAGTATGTGTATGTGTGTATGAGTGACATGTGTCTTCAGCTGTTGCGTTCTCGTTTCATAAATGTGATGTTACACGGGAAGATGTTTAGCGCATCACAACGTTGCAACCATACAAAACAGTGTGCCAACAATGACGCAACGCTGTATTGCGCTAAGAATACCGTCGTTTTGAATCAGTCGTACCTAAATGTCATTGGCAGGAATAAAAGCCAAATTAGGGGGAATCTTTTGGCTGGACCAGGCATCTTAGTACGCGATATAAGAGGGACCGAGACGTACTTTAGTTCAAACAAAAAGCACAATAGATACAGGTAACAAAAAGACAACAAAAACGATCTTTTGCTTTAGTTAGTCAACGAGAACGCAGGCAAGGCCACAAGGTGGCTCAGAAAGGTTAGGGTCGGGGTGGGGAAGGAGGAGGAGGAAGCGCATAACACCTTTCTTTTCACTAGTGCAGCCAACTCTCTCTAAGGCGAGCAAGTTCGGGATCGGATATCGGGCGTATAGAGAGTTAATTAAGAGAGATAAAGAACGGTAGGGATCGATTCTAGGCGTCTGTTTTCAGCGAGGAGTCGGTCTTATAAAGATGTCCGTTAAAAGAGACTTGACTGTAGAATTGTTCCCTGCCTTTCTTTACTTCTGTTAGTTGACTCTCTATAAGACGGAAATCTCTCTAAGACGGACACTTCAGCGCCGGGCCTGAAGGTGTCCGTTTAAGAGAGAAGAGAGTTTAACCTTCAAGTATACGGCAAACGGCAAACGTCAGATTCAAGTTGAGAATTTCTCAAAATAAAAAACTAGCAGATAAAAACAGCTCAAAACAACTTTTACGGACAAAAAAATTGGGTCAAATTACTAATTTATGTGTAGAAATAACGAACAGTAAAGGACAAGTAATGGAGAAACTTGGTCACGTGGTACAAATTCGAGTTTGCCGTTTGAAGTAAACGTGATGCTTAACCTCTCTAGACATGACTACAGCTCAAAGATTGGGATCATTTTACGTTTCTGTGAAACTGCCTTCTACTCCTCCCCTAAACCAACATTAAAACTTAGTTCTTACTTGGACCAAAATGTTGGCTTAGGGGAGGGTAGGTGGGCAGTTTCACCGAAACGTAAAATGATCAGATTGTAGGTAAGTTATAGGTGTAGGTCCATGCTTCTCTTTGGGCCAAAATTAGCCTGCAGTGCAGGCGTATTTTGGGTGGGCGAAACCTTGTTCGTGTTCGTACTATTGTCGTAGCCGCCATCTTTGATTTTATGACATTGGAAGATTGGGGAGAGTAGAAATAGTAACCCTTACGGTAGTTGCGAGGGCGAAAGAAGGAAACGGGGGAGGGGGAGGGTTTTCTCTTCTCTCTCCCCGCTCCCTTTGACTCGCCCCGTCTCCTCCTCTCTTCGGGAAGTTTGAACATGTCGCTTTCACGAGCAAATTGCGCGCTCAAAGAAAACGCCTGCACTGCAGGCTAGGCCAAAATGGGCGGACGAATTGATAAAAAAACTAACTCACCTTACATCCGTCGTACTCCCATTCTTCGGTGGTTTCATTGAGGTATTTACAGCACATTTGAACGATGGTGATGTTGTAGGTGGCTTCCTCCGGGGCATCCTGGGTGTCATTGATAGAACCATTGTAATAAAAACCGCAGTGCCATGGTCCAGCGGCCGTCTGGTTCAAATCATCGTTATCAATGAACATAAGATACTTGCTGTTATCGGGGCCACTGGAGTTAGCTTGACTGGAATTACTCGCGCTGGAGTTACTAGTCACGTTACTGGGAATAGGAGCCTTTGGAACCATTTGTCGAAAGTCATAATTTTGCAGTGTAGGTTTGGAGTATTTCCTGCATAGAACCACCAGCTGGGTGTTGTTGTGCTCGGGAATGGCCCAGATGTATATCGCACTCATGTTATCGGTGACATTGACGTTTATTACTAACATGTCTGCGTTTTGCTTTGTCAGTGTATGAGTTTCCGCTGTGGTCTCGCCATTTTCATCAGGGATAAAGATATCCATGTATGTGGTTAGGTTAGATACGTTCTTGACGTTTCCATTGCCGTCTCTGAGGACCAGTTGAGCAATAGCACCATTTATCTGGCCTCCAAAGGGATTAGTTGAGAACGTTGTCATCTGTCAATAAATACAAACCAGTTAAAAAGTGAGTAAAGATCGAGATTTGTCCTTTTTCGCATTCAAAATAACCACTGAATACAAACACCGATGACACATTGATGACAACGACAACAACAATGTCAATATTCTGGTCATGGCGAGTGTTCATCCGCCACTTGAGAATTGGGCCGAGTTATCTTTCGCAAAGACTTCTGGGAAACCAAAATGGCTAATAACTGATCGGTGCGTCTCCAGTAACGATCCCAGAAACAATTGCGGGACAAATTTTGGCCCCAGTCCCCTTCTCGTGTCTTAAGTTGCGAATGAGAGCAGGGGAAGACACTTGCTTACTAGGCATAGTTGTCAGTAAGTAAAGCAGGGGAGTGGGGAGGGTAGGACTGATAAAATGGGCTAAAGAAATCATCCATTTTCAATTTATCTTTTGAAATTTTTGTTTGGGCTTTATAAAAGGGCATTCGATTAAATATTAAAGGTAGACGAGAGAGAATAAAGGGCAAGATAGTGTAGCCTTAAGTGAATTTCACCAAAGTTATTTTTAGACCAATTAAACACTTGAATTAATCACCCGGAAGCTGGTTTCCGGAAAGGTCAGCAAACTTTTCTTCAGCGTTGTCAGGAGAGATTTCAACAGTTGGCATCACTATATTCTGCATTTTTTTTTATTTGTGGACTTGATTTAAATGTGTAGAGCTCTCAGGAATCAGACTTCTCGTTTAATAACAACCCCTAAAAAATAACTTAGGTGAAATTCACATATCCCGGCCAACCCCTACAGATTCCCTCTCTGTTCCATTATACAGTCTTGAGGTAAAGAATTCACACCTGTGCCTGAACCGGTTCTGAAGAGTTTGGATCAAGAGCTCCATCAATTCCTTCGACAGTACATGAGCCAATTTGCATGCTCGTAAACTGGGATTGATCAGCAACTGCTGCTCCCATGGCGACGAGGTCACCTTCAATGACGTTAGGAGCTTCACCTGGTACCATCTTAGCGCACATTAAACCAAGAATGGTATTCATCGATCCCATGGCCGTTTGCTGAACTGGGCTGGCTGAGCTGCTGTTTGCAGACTGGGAATTACCCTGCAAAGAAAAGCGTCGAATTGAGTGATCAGAACGATCCCTAGAGGGTGTGTGATTCCCATACAAAACGGTACTTGCCAAGGGCGGATTTAGAGGTGGGCCAAAAGGGCCGTGGTCACCCCTTTTCTTTGAAATTTTGTATTATTTTGTATAAAATTCTCAAAAAAATAAAAAGTATCTAGTATATAGCTGGAAAGTGTCGCGGCCCCCAATTTCTGAATTTTCTGGATCCGCCCCTGCTCGCCACTTAAGAAACGAAAAGGGGAACTAGGCCGACTAGGTTGAGATGATATGCCACTCGAACGTTTTCATTTGTGAATGAAATCCTAGGGAGTTAACATTAAAATGAAACTTCTTTCACTTTAATTTGCATAATACTACGTAAATCTTTGGATTCGAAATGTCTTAACTTTTACTTTGCCCTATATTGGGAATGAAAGGTTTAAGGAGGAGATTTCAAAATAATACCAATCAATCTCTCACGGATGCATCAAATTATTATACAGTCGGACATCTCCACAACGGACATGCTGAGGACGGAGTTATGTGTAAAGAGGTGCTGGTTATGTAGCAGAGGTTCGACTGTGACTTTCTTACCCCACCGGACGACTGTGAAGAAGGTGTAAGGAGGGTGCCGAAAGTACCAAGAAGACTTGAAGAAAACTCTGTGAGTTGTTCTGAGTTCATTTTATCCGCAACATTCATTGTATTAGAAAGGACATCTGCCATTTTTTCCTGCAAATAATAAAAGAGCAATAATCACACCAGGGTGCACAGAAAATGAAAGTTTCTCCTCAGGTGGCTAATTAATCTCATACCCAGATCTCAAATCTCCAAAGCTGGGACAGACACACATGAGATCTGGGCACGAGAGAAAACACGCGTATGGGTGGACAGCCCCTTTATAGACAATTACAGGCCGTTAAAAATCTGGTTGTATTAAAGTGGTTTTTTTTACATGAATCTGTAAAGAGGCTTTAACGTGATTTTGCTTTCGTTTGCATAGCAGCACTTCGAGATTGGGGAAACTGAAATGTCGCGCTACAAATCAAGACCAATGATGACCCATGCACCAGCGTTTTAGCGGGGTCAGACATGCCCTTCCTCCTTATTCTTTTACAACTATCTCTGATTTCCCTTCTGCTTTTTTCGCATGCTTTGCTCAGCACTATTCTATTTTTGCTTTTACTGATCATCTTTTTGGTACACACTTCACTCACGCCCTTGGTGTGGAGGTTTCCCATTTACGGAGAGAGAGGGGTCATACGAATCCCTTTAATCGCCTGCGTAAGAGGTTAGGCATGATAAAAATCCAGATTCTCTATACTTGTTCACCTGTGACACTTACAGAAGTAGAGGGAGGAATAAGCGAACAAATCAGACGTATTTGTGTGTCTAATTCCCAAGACATATTTCACAGCACCCTTAGTTGGCGAATGAATATTTTTTACACTTTCTAGTAATCGTAATATCAAAGAATAATCGTAGTTTTGGCTGTTGAAATATTGCATGGATAAGTGTTATCAGACTTAAATTATTTCTGTAGCTGAAATCTTCACAGCAACCCGTCTGTGTGTAGCATGTTACCTTAGCGCTGTCGGATGGCGCGCTGCTTGAACCGACAGCGGTCAATGTGCCCGCGATCTGCACAGCTTGGTCAGGATTTGATGGTTCTGATACTTTCAAAATGGTATCAAGCAATTGTTCTTGAAGCTATAAAAAAGAAAACACAATCTTATGTCATCTTGTTCTGTTGCTTTGGTTCTGTTGAACAAAAGATAGAGCTTTGCAAAAGATTCCACAGTTTATAAAAACAGCCTTTTGTTTTTAAAAAAAGTCAACGAATGGATAATTAGAGGGATTGACATTAACACTGACACGCAAGTCATCATACCTCTGCCTGTTTTTGCTTTTCTTCCTCGCTTGGCTCCGATGAAGCAGAATCGCTGCTTTGTTCTGATGAAGATGATTCTCCGCTGCTGGCGGCTGGCGCAAGGAAGGCAGATGCTAAGTTCCCAACGGCGCCCAGCACCGCTTCTGGGTTCCCTTCCGCTATAAGGTTCTTCAAATTGTTTTTCTAGGTTTATGGATGCGAATAGTTAGAACATCTTACATTTATAACTAAACTACTTTCCTGAACTTTTATTAACAACAAAATGTGAAGGTAAATGTTCATTAATTTGTTCAGCTACATCATAAGGAACCTGAAGGTAACGCTAAATACGTGTTTCCTTCTTCCCATTTGATAGTTTAGAACATGGGAAACAACAAGCGTAATCTTCAGTGTTTATTAGTGAGTTTACGCAACAGGACGGCAGAAAGAGGAGGACGGCATAACGCTTGTGCGTGACAAACGTGACAGGGCTATTATTGCGTGTTTTGTCGAGATCTTCACTTAACATTACTGTTTTTCTGGTTTTTCACAAAAAATTCTGTTTAAAGGAAGATGAAGTTTGGCAGAATTTTTTTTAAACAAAAATATTATCACGCCTGTCTCACAAGGTTGGTCATTTTCTTTCCTCTCCCGTCCTGTTGCGTAAGTTCATTATTATTATTTTCGCTATCGTCATTATCGTCATCATCATTATCATCATCGTCATCATCATCGCCATTGTAAAAACTGTCATAATCATTATCGCCATCACCGTTGTTATTCCCGTCGTTTTCGTCGCCTTTGCCATCATCATCATCGTCAATGTCGAGGCCATCGTTTTCGCTACTACTGACGTCACGATCTATTGATCACTGACAATATAGTGATGACGATGATGAGACTGCTTTGGTGACGAACACAGTTGTAAAGACGATAATGGTGACGATGAACGTGACGTCAATGGAGACCATACCGATGATACTGACAATATAGTGATGACGATGATGAGACAGGTTTTCTCCATACAAATGGGGCCTAACAGTACCATCACCATTATCATTACTACCTGATTTGCAAGCAGGGCCTCTTTCTCTTCTGCACTCTGTTGTGGCATTTCAACCTTAAACGACAGAAACAAAGCAACAATCAATTTTCGTAGGACGCCTATGTTTGAATGGCCCTTTTAAGGTAGTTTTACAAATATTTTACCAAATTCACAGAAACTGTAGTAAAGCTAGAAGGAAAACATAAATAGCAGTACCGTATTTACTCGATTAAACGCCGCGGTGTTTGTTAAATTTTTGGCGTGTCCGATTGGTTTTTATTTAACTCTTTAAGTCCCAATATCCACATACAAATTCTCCAAACTGATCTCCATACATTTCCGTGAAGAATTAGTTGGGAGAATTTGCTAAAAGATCAAATATTTTTCTCTTTGTGATCATTTTGTTAATTCTCATAGACTTTGCCCATGATAGTCTATGGATATCGTTAGGAGAAAATTGATTTTGAGCACTATTGGGACTTAAAGGGTTAAGGATGGCGTTTATTTCGAAATCATGGTTGCTTACCATTTGGCATTTACATGGACAAACCAGTAGGCCCTTGGAATGGTCAAATGGTACGCAAAATTTAGGACTGGTATATTTCGTCTCGGAATCGCGTTTACCCTTTGTACAAATCAGTTCTATTTGCTGGAAAACGACCGCGAAGGCTTGAAACTGGTATCAAAGATGGCTTTGAAGAAATGGAACTTGAATTTCTGTTTGGAATATTCCGTCCAGAAAACACGACTACCTTTTCAGATGTTCCGCTGTTCCAGGAAGTTTTCCGCTGGAACGACCCAAAAAGTCGTGTTCCATTTACTCTCCAACCGGATTTTCCGGAATCTATTTGTAAATGGTAAACAACCCCTTTTTCTTAAATCCCTAGCAACTGTAAAGTAACCGTAAATCGCTTGTAAATATCATGTAATTTAAAGGCTCTAATGTCTCTCTTATTTTCCTGAGACAGAATCGTAAATTTATGGATCCCAGGATGGTGCAGATTACCAGTGAGTTGTACCGATTTTTTTCTTATATTCCTCGAATAAACGCCGGATTCCTCCGATTAGGTGCGGCGTCTATTTCGAAGGCGGCGTTTAATCGAGCAAAGACGGTAGTTAGAAAACGAGACTTGGTCTTACGTCATAAGGTCAAAGAGATTCCTGTAACGCGTACCCCATTTGCTCTTAAGGTGGATATTCACTGTCACGTGTCACGTAATTTTTAACTGCGTGCACGAGTAAAATTTACGGCGCGTAATTAAAAGTTGAGTGACGTTGAACTTTTGCGTTTACGCGATACCTTTCATATATTGCCTCTATTTTATTTACGCGCGTAGAATATACCCACGTAAAAATTACATGACTGTGGAAACCCTCCCTTAGTATCAAGAAAACATAAAGATGATTTTTTTGGCCCAGACTGTAAAAGGCAATATTTTAATAATTTTATAATTTTTTATCTAGGCTGTCCATGCCAGAGTATTTGTTAATAATTTTGCCAATTACGCGTTCTTGTTTGCTATGGAACTTAAAGTTAGCTAAGGAGTCACTTGTAAATGACTAAATCACAACTTCGTGTCAAACAAATATGTCTCCCTATGTTAGGCAAACAGGTTTTAAAAACCAGCTGGTAATCCTCAATACGAGGGGTTGCTGTCTTCCTTTTCAATCGTCTTCAAGTATGTCCATTTTGTATTTGTTGTGTTATGATACCTTCTTTCAGCTCTCCTAACCCTAAAGCCACTTGGTTTGCAACCCTAACCGTACAACAATGGAAATACAGTAGAACCCCGGTAACTCGAACTCTCGAGGGAAACGAAAAACAGTTCGAGTTATCGTGGTAAATTTCAGGAAAATTTTGATCAAGGGAAAGAAAATTTGGTTCGAGTTAGCGGGGAATTCGAGTTATCGAGGTTCTAATGTAATGAACAATGTTGTTTTCTTCTTTTCTGTGACCAATGAGGAGACACCTTCTATTTACGAACAGCTGCTACAGTGCTGTTCACTCAGTTTGGTGGCATCTCCAGCTGTTTGAATTTTGATGAAATGTCGTGACACAGTTCCTTAAAGGTTTTATTTCTTAGCTGTCTTTCTTCCTTACCCTCACTTGAAGATCGTATTTAGTGATTGCTCCGTCCTCGTCTTGAATTCTAACGAATACGTCAATCCGATAGCCTCTGCTCTCTAGACCAACAGAAAGAGTTAACCAAGATGACGTGTATGGCGCACCCGGGGAGAGTACAGCCTCCGCAGGAACTGGAATTTCTGGACTATCAGCGTCCGATTGAGTTGACACCTTGTATTTCAACTTAGTGTCATCCTGCCAATCCTTACACGTGATTTGAAAGTCGTCTTGAAACGCAAACCCCAGGTCGGGTGTATCGGCATGTTTTGAAGTGATATTGCAGACCCCTTCTTGTGGCGGCACATTCACCTCCCTGGTGTATTCTGAAAACCCACGGGTTTGGGTTCCTTGGGCCCATGCCTCAAGTCGGAACGTGTAAGTCTTGCCACCCTCCAGACTATTTGCTTTTACCACAAGTGTTCTTCCTGTTTTGGGGGTGCTCAGAATGTTTTCGACGTTTTCAACTTCTTGAAAAGGACCAGAGGGCGAATCTCCCTTCAATATCTTCCACTCGTAATTGGTATTTTGACACGTACAAGTTTCGCAAGTGGCACAGCCTGTCAAAGTCATTTTGTTAGAAGGTCCGATTCTTTTGTTGCAGTTTGTTACGCACCTGAAGTTAAAGGAAAGAACATTATATTAATTCTAATGCCATATTCCTAAACCACACTCTTTAACAAATGGTAAGCGTAATTCCCTTGTTTTGCACTGCGAATCACCTACTACGGTCGAACCTGTATATAACGGGTGGCTACTTCATACAGGATCACTAAAATTACTCACTGGGCGTGGTCTAATGTGAATCTTAATGGCGTATCATACAAAAATACTATATCACTATATGCAAGGAAACAATAACACAATCAACACTCTTTCAAGCGATCAATACTTTAAACAAAGTTCAGTGCCAACTTGTAACTTTACGGTATAATATACGTAACATTGTGTAAAAGTACTGTGCAGTAAATTGTCATCTACTCTTCTACTGCGATATACAGTACCGTATTTCTATGACTTACCTGAGTTCACAACAAAACATCTCATTCTGTCATAAAATACCGCAGAAAATACCATATCGCTTAGTTTCCGTTCAAGGGTGGCCGCTTAATACAGGGTCGTTATATAAAGGTTCGACTGTATTTCGCACTGACATATATAACGACATGGAGAGTGGTGATGATTTTTGCACCGGTCGCCTGAAGAGAGGTAATGACTTCAGCCAGGACCCCATAATCCGGAGCGAGTAACGCTCATACTAGGCCTATGTCACGGCTTTTTTACGGACCAGTTTATTTTTAGACACATTTCAGGGCACTTTTTCCCGCGAAAATAGATTCTCCACCATGTCTATGAGCGCATTCGAAGTATAAGATATCAAAAAGGCAAACTAAACGTTATTAAAAGGCAGAAAATATCACTTTTAGGTCTGTAGGCTTTGCTAACTGGTTTATGGAATTTAAAACATAGTCAAAATTTGCGCCAAACAGTTCTAAAAAGAATCTGCTCCGTAAAAACGCCGTGACACGAGTCTGTGGATGTTGCTCGCTCCGGGTTATGGGCTCCTGCTTCAGCACAGAATCGACCAACAACAGCAATATTCTCGTGACATAATCCTTTAAAGCTCTCTATTTGTCAGTTTAGAAACGAACAGGAAACGTTTGCAAAGACTTCTGGGACTGTTACAAAGGACAGGGGAAAAATTGTCCAGTAGCTGACCAGCACGTCCCCAGTAACGATCCCAGAGGTCTTTGTGACACTTTACTCAGCCCAGTTTCCCTCTCGTTTCTAAAGTGGCGAATAGGGGAGAGGGAATTTCACTCACGTGATATGAACAATTGGTGGATCTCCTTCCACCAATAAAATGCTAGTACAGGCAACACTTCTCCGAGTGTCTTTCATGGCCAACACACAAACATCGTACGTGCTGTACAGCCTCATCCTGAGTGTATTAAAAGAGATCTGTGCTGTGGAGGCGTTCAGTCTTCCAGGCGGATAACCAAAACATCCATCCTCATCTACCACCGTAGAGTTAGACTGAGTTTCGTTGTTCGAGCTGTTGATAGCAGTGACATGTGGAATCGGAGATAAAGGAAACGCGGGAAGCACGGTACAGTTTTTAACCAGTTCAGGGTCGTAACTTCCTTGTTTAGCACAGAACCAGCAATACTGGAAATCACTAGGCAAATTGTCGTTTTCTGGAACGTCCGGGTCTTTTGTATTAGAGGCATCTATGGTGGCTTCTTTTCCTTCACCAATTGCCCTAGTTGATCCCCCGGCGATGGCGGCTTCGATGTCCGAGGGAATAACATTGATGTATCCCTCGGAAGACCCTTCGACTCCCTTTACATCGGCCATTGCACACGTGAACTCAAAGTAGTATTCATCGATAGAAAATTCCATAGGGTTAATTTCCATGGTTAACTTTTTGGATGTTGATAAAGCATTCCCTATTAAAGGAAACGTTATGAAGCTGCCGCTGTCGACGTCCCACTTCTTCACAATCCACGTGAAATTGGTTTTGTCAGAAGCTTCACAATTCACCACTACGGTATTCTTGATTTTGATGGACTTCCATCTATAGTAGGGAACTGCATTTTGGCGAATACTTCCCACAGCGTCTGAGTCGATCGTAACGACGGGATAATCGCAGGGCTTATCTAAGGTCACAGCTTTACCTGATGCGTTGACTTTGCTCACCTTGTTGCATCCCGTGATCAAAAGCGGGTAATTATCGACCGCAGAGTACGTATGGTCAAAAGAAAAGTTTTTTCCTGTAAAGGTCTTGACTTCCACGCCAACCTTGCTGCATTCGTCCTCGCAGGTAATCCCAAGATCAGTCTGGTAGATGAAGACTTTGTTATCGCCAATTTCCACCAGAAAACACGATTCTGTTCCCACTTGTTTAATTCCAACGGTAAAATTAATAGGAAGGCCCAGCTTTTGAGGTCCGTCATTTGTGAAATTTATTGTCTTGACCATACACTGTGAGCGGACCGTAAGCTGAAGGATCTCTTTACTCACGGCGTTCCATGCTGTAATGTTGATTGTGTATAAATTCGGAATTTCGAACGTGTAATTTATAAAAGGATTAGTAGTGGTAACTTCATATCCATTACTGAAATCCCAATAATACGTTACATTAGTTCCAGTTGCAATTGTAGTATTGAAAAGGACGGGGAAATCGCATGGAAAATAGGTTTTGTCATGGCCAAATCCTGGTTTTCCAATGTTCGCTTCTGGTCCTGTGTTCAAAGAAACCGCTGAGAAGTTAGTGATGGGCGTTTGGACTTCGACTTCTATTTCCATGAAGGCTAGGTGAATTTCATTATTAACAGTAATGTTCATGGTATACGCGCCGTGCGTTCCATAGGAGTGTTGCAGTATAAGTGGTGCTAGGAAAGTATCGTTTGCAACCGACGTTCCGTCACCGTAGTTAACCGTGTAGTTTGAATTTGTGGGATGTACTTGACCCGCAACAACAGTAATCGTAAAGGTGATTGTGCCTGGAGGAATGTTCTGCGGGCTATTTGTTGTCAGAGTCAAATAATGTGGGTTTTGTATGTAACTAAGTATGAAACGGGTAAAGTTGCTGACACTGTTGTTGCCGAAGAGAGTAACTGTGTATATCCCTTCGTACATAAAGACGTGTTGAATAGTGACCCCATCAGTAGAGAAATTTCCCTGGTAGTAATGATTTACAACATCAGAACCATCTCCAAAATCCCACCAAATACTGACGTTGCTGCCCGCTGCCATTTGGCAGGAGAAATTTGCTGTTTTGTTAACCTCAACGAATTGACTGGATCGGGTCAAAAGTGGCGTGTCTATTGGCACGTCCACCATCACCGTTAAATATCTCATTTGCCGCGGGGTTACGTAATTGATGGCCGTCACCATGAGCTCATAGATGCCTATATCTGGCATCATGTATTCGAATACCATCGCTGTCCCATGTGTTGTACTTATCGTTGTAATAACTTCTAAGTCGAAGGAAGTTCCATCGATAATGTGCGTAAATGTTGCATTGAAGATTGCATCAGTCCCTGTAATAGTGTTCCAGTACACGGAGAAACGCTCTGCAAAAGGCTTTGCTATCGGATCAACTACTTCAAATCCAATTATGGGCTCCTCTACAATAGCTATTGTCTCTGCTGTGGTCTTATTCAATCGATTACTGCAGTTAAGTTGTACGTGGAAGTGACCTACGCTGCTGTAATTGTGGTAGGTGAAATTTCCTAGTTGTTCAAACACAGTTTCGTTCGTGGTGCCATCGCCCCAATTCCACGTGCATGTAAAATCGGTACCAATACTTATGTTCAACATGCAGGGAGTAAGATCAGTCAGGTTGGTGAGAGAGCAAGTTACGTTAAAGCCAATCAGGGGATCGACCGGTTTATGTACTTGGATTTCCGTCGATGCATTTAGCATACTTATGTTATTGTAAACAGAGCAGCTCACATTGTAAAAATCGAATGGCGAATAAGAATGCTGAGCGGTTAGATCTCGCGTCGTGGTAGCCGAACCGTCTCCGAAGTCGATAAAGATTTCTGGATTGGTTCCCTGGGTGATTGTGACCTCGACTGTCACGGTCTCATTAACTTCTATGTCTCTGTGCGCATGGTGGACGGTACAAGTTAGACCGGTCACCGGTAACTCCACTATGGCCAGAGTCTCTATTGACGCGTTCGAAACACAGTTGGACACGTTTATGGTGATAGCATACTCCCCTGTAGCTGCGTAAGTATGGTTATTTATCGCGGCAAAAAGATAGCCGACATCAAACGAGCCATTCTGATAGGAGGTTCCGTCACCGAAATCAACTGTTATGTTAATGCCGTCTCCTTGCCGAACAAGCCACTGTATAAAAGTGATGTTTCCCAACGCCACCGGGAGGACGGGGCTGTAAAACGCCAAGCCTAATACCCTGTCTTGTACCACAACCGTACAGGTCTTTATCGAAAAAGAGAGAATGTTACTGGCGTGAAGTGAAACGGAATATGTGCCGCTCAAGCGGTACTCGTAGTTTAATAGCTGGTCCTGGTCTGCAAGTTCAGTAAACGAGGTCTCATTGTAGCCCGAACCATAATTTACAACGTAGGTAATGTTGTAACCAGGATGAGGATGTACTGTCACTGTAAATGAATCGTTGGTTGCTACAGCTTCGGGCGTGGTCATTGTGACGTTTGCCACGCTCTCGGTTGCCGTTATGTGCGCCGTTTTTGTGACTGAATTCAACGGTCCGCTTACCGTTGCTTGCTCGTAATAATGACCAATGGCATAAGTGTGAAGAAGCAGCATCTTAGCGGGGGCGCGACAAACCGCTTCTACAGCAAACTGGAGTTGGCTGATGCTAGATGGAGTAGACTGGGTTGTAATCAAAACGGAACCCAAGTGAAGATTAGCGTCATTGAAATAAAATGCTGTGGAATTGTATTTTTTACTGTCTTCACTTTTTCGAGAGATTATTTCTGTGTGGCCACTGCCCTGGTAAGTGAAACCAATGATGTCTCCTTCTTTGACGTCGGTGCTATTTTTAATGTCATCGAACGAGAATATATGGCAACCACCTTTGGAAACGAAAATAAGATGCTCGGAGACCAGCTCGTACTTTTCGCTCAATGTGGCAGTTGGAATAGTATTCGGTGATACATTTTCGTCATTGCAAGTACATGAGCCAAACGAAAACACTTCACCACTGTTACAATTAGTGGCCGAGGTATTGCCGCAAGGAGGAGCTTCAGTACAAATGGAATTGATATTGCAGTAGAGGTGGAGAGGTCCGGTTCCGCACACTTTTCGATATATCTGTCAAGGAAATGAATGACTAAATGAGTTGGTTCATCTTGCCATTAAAAATCGTTGCTACCTTTAGCCTACTGTCCTGGTGCGCATGAGTGTTTTTAAGAGGATGCCACAGACTTGCACCTGTCTCCACTTATTTATTCTCGCAAAGGATTATGGAAAGGAAAATTGACACGCGCAAAGACGCTTGGGAAAAAAGTGTTTGAGAAAAAGTGTTTCTTCCTTCTTTCTCTGGGTCACCGAGGTTGCCGAAAAATTCGCTTGCACTTCTGCAAGCCTATACTCACAAATGGTCAATGAATGAGTCGCGTTATTCGCGGTGACAAAATAGAGCAAATTGTGGGTAATTTAGGTGAACTCAGGTGCATGTTGTTGAAAATATAACGTGCAATGGTTCGAGTTTACATCATCATAAACTTTAACTTCATCAACGCGATACAGTCGACTCCTAGTAATTCGAACCTTCTAGGGAAATCGAAAAAAGTTCGAGTTATCGGGAGTTCGAAACAAATAACCGGAAATAAGAAAATACGCAAATGGATGGGGAGGGAAAGAAAGCATCATAGTGCACACTTCAATAGATTAATATTTTGAAAAAGGAATCAAGAAACGAAGCTTGATTAACATACAGGGATGGACACTGAACTTGAACTGGAATAACAAAAAAGACAAAGAATTGACACGGTTGTTTTGAAATAAATTGAATGTTTCGGACTTCAGAACACTGTTTTTTTTCGACTTGTCACCCGCATAACTGATGGTTCGAGTTACGTGGGTAAAATTGTATAGAAATGACCTGAAGGGAAACAAAAACTACTTCGAGTTAGCGGGAGGTTCGGGTTATCGAGGGTTCGAGTTACCGAGGGTAAACATGGTTAGAGTAAATGTATGAAGGAAATCCAGGGAAAAACGACTTTGGTCCCAGCTAGCGTGAGGTTCGATTTAAGGAGGGTTCGAGTTATCGGGAGTCAACTGTACAACGACACACCAAGAAAAATCGTTTTTATGGATCGGTAATCACGTTAAATTGTTGCTAGAACGTTAAGTTTTCAATGTACTTCGAGCAAGAAGTTTGAGTTTTGCTGGAGCTCGTTTGCAGAAGAGCACTAAACTTTATCATAATCGACCAGAAGAAACATATAATCGAACAAATTTACATTTGGATCTCCACGACTAAAGTTTTAATTGAGTAAACATTGATTTACGTCATAAGTATGGAATTTCTGTCGTTAAAGTGCAGACGCAGCGAGGAGACACGGCTGTATTCGCAGGCTAGCATCTCATTGGCCAGTTTGAAATTCCACCCGTTATATTGTGATTGGCTCTGTTTGGGTAATAATTACCTACCTGAAGAGATACGTAGCCGCTAGTCTCTGTACAAATCCTCCAACCCATTAGCTTGCAGTCATCCTCAAACCTGTAACTTGGTAGCAGCACAGTTACGTTGGTGTATTGTACCCCACCACTTCCGGGTGTGGACTGAAAAACCTCTCCAACAGTGTAGGTACGAGCATCTAGAAGACGAAGAGCATACACCGTAATTTGACTCAGTGCGCAAAGACTCGCGAGAAATGATAAAAGAACTCTCTCCCTTTTTTGACCCCCTTCCGAAATAGCCAAGCCCACACAGGCTTCACTTCAATTCCTTGCGCACATGCGCGGTCAAGATTAGCGGACAGTTTTTTCAAAAACTATTTTTGTCATGTTTGCCACACAAGGTTTGCCGTCTTTTTTGCCATGTTGTCCTTTTACGTAAGTTCACTATTGCGGGCTTTCACAACACTTACCATCCATGGGAGATGAAATTGCGCTTCCCGTGGTAAACTGAGCGTCCAACCGCATGTCAGTCCCTTCGTAAACGGATATCGGACACCCGAACTCTTCGTTTGCCTCAACGATCGAGGGACAGTTGAGTTCAAGCAGATTGACAAAAGAGTAAACATTCACCTAAAAGAAAGAAAATGGACATGACATCAACAAAGGGTAAACAAAGAGAATAAGGGTCCTTGTTGAATGCACCAGGTTTCGACCACTATCTTTTTCCTTTTTGATAAACAACTGGTGACCCCAGGATTATTATAGGCGAATTTTTGTTTACACTTTTTGCCTCATTAACTTATGCTTATCACTGTCTGATGACCCTAATAAAATAAAAACTCTGAATATTGAAAGGGCATAACAGTTTCAGTTATCTCCAAAAATTCGAACCCAATACACCGAATGGTTTCGGAGAAATTCTCTTCTAAAAACTCGAAATTTTACTGAGAATGTATCGCTCATTAACTTTTTTGCCACATAGCAATTTCGCAGTTTTTGATGGCTGATATTTCCTTCAATATTGCATGCAAAGAGCTGAAAATTGCACAAATTGCTCAACTTCATTAGCTCTTTAAACTTTTACATTTAGTTCATATATGTGGCCACGGCTTCAATGAGTTAAGTCGTATGCTAATGAGGAAAAATGTAAACAATGACATCAACAAAGATTTCTCAGAGACATTGTATACATTATAATAATTATAATTATACATTATAATTATTACAATTTTTGACAGAAAAGGTACCCCTTTCATATATTCTCATTGACAAATGGTACTCTTTTCACATACCTAGTTTAGAACATTGAACCTCTTTTAACTGCTATAAATGCACTGCCTTTAAAAGAAGATTAAATAAAAAAAAAGAAAATTTCTCGACTTTTTCATAGCCATAAATTCTTCTATTGGTCCTTTTAGATCTTTCTACAGACGGAAAGACAGATTTCCCTACCCTTTTATATACTTCAACCCTTGGAATAATAATAATAATAATAATAATAATAATAATAATAATAACAACAATAATAAATACTTGATTATCCACTCCCCTTATGGGCCTTTTCAGAGATAATAAAACAATAGTTTAAACGGAACATAATATGTTTAAGAATCCCAACCGGTAGGAGGACAAAACCAGTTGGCCATTTACAAGCGTGGCCGAGGATTTGAACTCGGGAATACCAAGTACAAATCCAGCTAGCGTTCAGGGCGGGACTTGAACTCTGGGCTTCCGGATTACAAGTCCAGTGCTCTAACCGCTCGTCCTTGCCGTCTCCACAACCCTTTCATATACCTGAGGCTTGTGGCCTGCAAAAGGTACCCCTTACGGGCGGAGCCTCCCCGTATAGGCTACTATAGGAAGTACCCCCTGGGCTTCTTACCGCCAATGATGTGGTATGTAATTGTGGTTCACCATAATCGCCCAACAGGGCCTGGCCATAAACAATGTGTGTTCCCTCAGAATGATAGAGATACGATTCAACAGACTTCTCTGTGGTGACTAAGATGCCCTCGCCAAAGTCCAACGTGTACGATGCTCCCGTGTAATCGGAAAGCGTAGCATTGAATCTTTCTGACACAGATACGTTTGTGGGCATGGTCAGGCCAAGTTCATAGTCGTACTTTCCTGAAGCATTGTAAACGCTGTAGGCAGATCGTCCACCGCATTGTATTATTGGGTTGCCTGTACATGGCACATCGCATTGTGGTTCGCCAACCTTATTGACGGCGTCAACTGAGTCACTGCAGAGACACTGATCTCCACGTTTTACCGCAGAGTATGTATAGCCTGCCTCGCCGCAGCAAGTGGTACAGATCTCCGGGGTCAGGGAATTCTTGCCGTAGTCTCCACATGCCTTAAATGGACCACTCAAATAACAGCCAACGTAATTTTCCGCTACATTGAAAAAATAAAATTTAATTAATTAGACATGTTGGAGCTCCGCTTGAGACTGGGTCAATGCCGTGTCGAATAGACCTTTTTACCGATACGGCGGCCATATTGAATTAATTTGATTTAAGGAGTATTATAGGATGCCCAGGGGGATTAAGCACATTTCGTTTGTATTTTCGAGCGCTTCTCGGGACATTTTTTCTTAAAGTTGTCTTGGAATAAGATTGCAATGGGAAAAAAGATCCTTGTGCTGTGTTTTGATGTATATAATGATCGCCCTTTTCCCGAGAAATATACAATGAAAGACCATATTTCTAATACTAAACTAGAGAAAGGCGATCATTATTACATCCAAACACGGCACAAGGATCTTTGTTCTCATTACAATCTTATTCTAAGAAAACTTTAAGAAAAAATGTCCCGAAAAGCGCTCGAAAATACAAACGAAATGCGCTCATGCCCCCTGGGTATCCTATAATACTCCTTAAATCGAATTAATTCAATATGGCTGCCGTATCGGTAGAAAGGTCTATTGCACTATGGGGCTATTTTGGGGAGCGAATGTGGACCCATTTTCCTGTGCGACTTCCTTGTAACCAATGAAAGAGCTGATAGCGTCCTCGGAATAGTCCCACAATGCAGTTAGAGGCGACATCGACCTAGTCCTGCGCTAAACCTCAAAATGACCACTTAAATTGTAAAAATATTTGCAAAATAGACCACAAACATTTCAAAACCCCGAAACCACTTCTGGATTTACCTTGGTTCGAAAACATTGATGTACCGTGGAATACGCGTAATCACATAACAAAATTCTCCAATCTATCTGCTGTCCTGATTCCAGAATTTATAGGACACTATAATAGGACAGTACGCGTCACTCCCATACGACAGTGCGCGCCATCAGAACAGTGAATGCCATCGCGCCCGCGCACACTTGAAGGTTTTTTTTTTTACTTTTAGCAAAAAAAAAACTTTCAGAATATCTTGTGTTTTAATTGGACTCCACTCAGTCCTGTTACCATTACTTGGTTGACCAAGCGTGCAGCGGAGGACGAGTTAAGCACCAAGAACGTGAACCGAGCGTGAAATATGTTATAGTTACGTCTGGTAGCAGCTTCTCAACTGACAAAATCGATTCAGCAGCACAAAGCAGCTGAATTTGAGTCCGCTGAGATTCAAAGCCTGAAGTCGTTTAATCGAACGTTAAATCATATTAAGAAGTCTTTGACCATTTCGTTTACTGCTAGAATATGGGATTTTAAGCTAAGCGAAAGCTTGGTTAACCCTTTAGGTCCCTAGAGTGACCAACATCAATTTTCTCCTAACAACATCAGCAGATCACAAAGGGTAACGGTCGTGAGAATTACTAAATTGATTACCAAAGGGAGAAAGCTTTGATCTTGAACCAAATTCTCTCAACTGCTCTTAAAAGATATGTTAGAGATCAGTCTGGAGAATTTGTATCTGGATCTTGAGGCTTAAAGGGTTAATAGACTCACGCGTTGTAATGCCATACAGTTCCATTCTGAGAACAGGTTCGTGATTCCATGACTTTATGTGAAGTCGGACTTTCCTCGCCACGAATGGATTGGCAAAGGTCTTTTGAACCACAGAGCTTGCATCAGTATTTCCCGTAAAAAGCTGTGAAAAATTGACGTTAAAATGTAAAAAGGAAGCTCTCTTCTGCTACAGAAAAAAATTCATTCATTTCGGAAGTGATTCTGACGCTATTCAAAGACTTTTCTCAATTCATCTTTAATTGAGGTACTCTCTCTTCTGAGAGCATGGGGATCATTGGGTAGCGGTTGTTACAAGATGCGTGAATACTGACTTCTGATTGGATAAAATTACACGGAAGTGACGCTATACACGTGAATTACGTCACTAATTGCAAAACAAGTTTGCCTTTAAGCCGGTAAAACGCACAACACGAACAGCTTTTGTTGTAACAACATTTCGCAACCTGCAACATCCTCGTTTGTTAGGTTGCAAGACAGGTTTTCTTCGTGGCTGGTAAAACGCCCAACATCGCTATTCAACTCGTTTTACAGCAATGGTGCAAAATAAGTTTAACGTTTCTGCAGCTCGTGTTACCGTACCTTGAGGCGGTCGCTCATGAAAGGTTCCACTGCTGTCGCATTCGTGTTGCCTTACCTTAACTGCGTTGTTTTCTAAATACGCCTCCCATAAAGCACTCTTAGTATGAGACACGGTGTAGGTCATGACGTAAGAACTGCTGCGACCTTGAGTAGCCACTTTAGTGATTGTCTTAACTTGGTTCACGTCCACCTCCACCCACTGATCACCAGTTGTGGATTGCGGTTTCCAAGCTTCAATAGACCAAGATGTATCTAAAGAAATAAGGGTTTAATTTAGCCCGGGGGGGGGGGGTACTTGGGTTAATTTTTACCGGGTATGTGCCGCTGGCCCCTCAGAGCCCCTAAATAAGGGTTTAATTTAGCCCGGGGGGGGGGGTACTTGGGTTAATTTTTACCGGGTATGTGCCGCTGGCCCCTCAGAGCCCCTACCTCATTATAGTCTATTCTGTGGCCAATTATTGACCCCATCTTAGTCACTTTTTGCGCAAATATGTAATTTCGCGAACCTAACTTAGTCACTTTCTATTTTTATGAATTGACCTATTTTTTACATTGAACGAACAACACTTCACTTTTCATCTGCGGTACAAACATTCTGGTACGTTTGCTAACAGTAAATATGAAGAACTGTCTTACCCCAAAAATCCGAAAATGTGCGACTCCATTCTAGTAACTCTATTGAAAATGCGACCTCATTATAGTCAATCCAGTAGTGAAAGTGAGACCCCATCCAGCGACACATCCCCATTAGCCTCTTTTAAGGAAGTACCCCTCCCGGGCTATTTAGCAGCAATGATTCTATCTTATTAGTCCTAAACAATGGATAAGTAAGGCTGAATTCGCCGCTCGTAGGTCCTCTGGCAAATCTGTCGTCCTCGATATGAACTACCGCTGCACAAACCTGATGCGAGCCTCCAAGTGAGCCTTCCTTTATCACCTATAAAACCAGGTGTATACGAGGATGCTGTCATTAATGCTGACGAGCCCCATCCAACGCCAAGTTTAGCTGCAAATTTTTAAGCATCAAAGGAAAATCAGTAAGAGTAGGTGGTAGGAGAGAGTAATTACTGTTTTATGAAATACTCTGTTAGGACGTTGAAAGAAGGCATATTTTCCCTGTTTCGTGAAGCTGCTTTTTATATTCCGTAAGTAACAACAGCTGTTTCTCTCGATGCAGTCAATTACTCAAATTTAAATGATTTTGGACGTCACTTCAAAGCCTTTAGGGTTCATATTACTGGAACCGTTACTCGATGTACCTGTACATGAAAACTGTCTTTGACTAACGACGGGTAGGAAAGGAAGTGGACTGAAAATTGAGATCGTCTTAAACCGGCAGTTTCAAGCTGGACTTGGATTAAAAAAAACGCTCCAAAACCATAAATCGGGATTTGCTACATTAGTGATTCATTTTGTTGATCAGGGGACATTTTTTACTTCGCCAAGTGTCCTTTCCCAACTCTTGATTAGTTTACACCGAGCGTTTTGAGAATTAAAGTGTCACTACCCGTTTCAGTCACTTATGCAAGTGTCGTGCTTCTCCGGTGTGACTTCTTTGGGAAGTAACTTTGTCACGTTAGCACTACAAACGAGACATCTGTAATACTTACAATAATCGCTTTGTCCGTCCCTATGGAAGCAAGTGCTGTCCAAGTAACAGAAACCAGTAGCCATACAGTCCCCCTCCGTTATGCCCGCCCAACCGGTGCTTATACGATCGTTAACTTCAATAAAGGGGCAGTCTGAATAAGCTGTCGATAGATGATAAAAAACTCAGCAGTGTAAGCATTAACAGCGATAATGGGCTCTAGTAACTCCTAGTCGGTTTCCAATCCTACGAGTGATTAAACACGAGTGTGGTGTAGACACAACTGAAAGACATGCTGCCCGGTTATCAGTTAGTCTTACAAGCAAAGAATTTTTGACGTAGTGGTCTCATGCGGAGCGCTTCTTCGCAGGTACTTAACAGACGGTTGCGCACATATTAGGGCCAAGCAAGAATTGTTCTGCGAATCCTATTCGGGCGCGAATTGTAAACGAAACTTAAGGAAATATCCAACTCAATATCAAATGCACACTTGTAACCACTAAGAACCGTGGCTAATTGAACCCCTTTAATTAACTCTCAATATTCCTGCTTAGGTTTATAAGAACCGGATGTTTGAAGCTTTGCTAGAGACAACGAAATGTCAAATTAACCCAGACACAAAGAAGAGAATTCACTGTCGTCAGCTCGTATATCAAATTTAGTTTCCATTAATTGTCAAAATGAAGCTTACGCTGACAAGTATGTTATAAGTATCGCGGGCTCAGATACACTTTTGTTTTGTTTTGGCTATAAGTTGAGAAGTTCCATTGAATCGCGGACTCAAAACAACATTCAAAGGCTGACGTTCTTTTTACTTAGTTCTTTTTTTGTCAGTGCTTAATTCGATAGAAACCGTCGAAAATTTATTTTTCCGGTAAAATGTTTGAATTTAAAAAGGGCTCCGCTTTTAGGCTTTGCTAAATCTTTATATCATAAGCAATAATGAACTCACAAGGTAACATCCCAACGCAGTGGAACCTTTTTCGCATCTCTGTATAACCTAAGGCTATTTTGCTGTAAATAACAAGTAGGCTCATTTTAAAGTCGGACGATCCTCCTGTTGGTCGCCGTCCGATCAGAAGATTGTGGTGCGTTTCGACTGTTCTGTCCGTTGCAAGAACTGTTCCCCAAAACGCGTCTGCTCCATTGACAACCATCCAAGGATTGGTACTAGGATTTTCTCTCCAGGCAATAAAGATATGGTACCACTTCTCAGGAGTTATTACAAGAGATATGCTGCCATATTTGGTGGTCGAATAGATATTAGCGGTCAGTTTTGAGGTGGATGTTGCGTAGAAAATTGCCAGTCCTCGATCAGCGTTGTTTTCAGCTGAGTATAGAATGTCGCTGTCTGCTCCGCTCTTTGCCCAGAACCAGAACCCAATAGTGATACCATAAGGGCACAGCGCAAAGTCGCTGATGCAATTTCCAAAGTATCCAAAGTCAATTGTCTGAGCGGTGGCAGTTTTGATCTCTGCGACCCCGGTAGTAAGTCCCTTGTATCCTATGCCACCATATATCGCCCCTTTCTCACCCTTTCCGTGCTTTGAACCAATCAAATCATAAAATGTACCACCCACGTATCGGTCCAACGGCATTAAATGATCAGCATCTTTGTAGCATTGGGCTGTGAAAAATACCAACAAAAAATTGAATGAACAACTGCAGGCCTTGAAGCCAACAATTTCGCACGCGCGCTCCTATTAAAAAAGTGGAGACACGTTTCCACCTAGGGCATTATCTTATGCTACTCCAACTGGCAGACGTTTTCGTAGGTGTAATTTTTTTTTTATTCCAAGATACCAGAAGTGATTTTCCAAACGCTTAATTTTAAGATTTAAAGGTGTTCCTTCCCCTCGCAACTTAAACCCCAGATTTAATTTCAGTACCCTTTAGTGGCTTCTACAAAACAAGTTCCTGCGCGGTCTTGATTTAAGTGATATAATATTGGGTCACGAAAAAAAGACTCTCGTCTAAAACTTTTGCTTTAAAAAAGTTGCACTGGCTTCCTTTAGAGGACAGAATAATTTTCAAGTTACTGTTGATCACGTACAAATCTCTTAATGGCCTTGCTGCGGTGTATACTAACGAGCTGTTAGATCATTACACTCCCTGTCGTTCTCTTCGTTCTAGTGATTCCAACCTCCTAGTTATCCCCAAGACTATTACAGTTACTTACGGTGATAGATCTTTTGCGGCAATAGTTCCAAAGTTATAGAATTAGCCAGCACTTGCCATTAGACAAAGCAACTTCATTTGTTGTTAGCTTTAAAAGGGCTTTGAATACGTATCTGTTTCGTGAGAGCTCTTTCTTTCAGTTGTAAAAAGCATCGAGACATTTATATGTAGAATGCGTTTTTTTTTAAGAACTTTAATAATAATAATAATAATAATAATAATAATAATTATTATTATTATTATTATTATTATTATTAAAACAGGGTATCGAAATGAACGGACTTTGTATCAAACAGAATCAGGGTCTAAAGACCTTGCGGCACATTCCCACCAACCTCCCGTTCACACCCCCACCCCGGGTTACCAGTGGCGCCCTGTGGTGTGTGCAGGAAGCAAGTCATGTCGCTGGGAAGACGAAATTCGAATTTCACTTACATGCCGTCAATTAAAATACTTAAAACTTAATTAATAACCCGTCAATCTGAATCTACACTAGGCATCCCAGCAAAGGCAAACTTAAAAAATCCAACTCACTCTCTTTCTGTCTGTTGAACATTGTGATCGTTGTAGATTGTGTATCATCTGCAGTAAAGGACACGTAACTAAGGGAAAAAGGTGACTGGTCATTCCACTGCAACAGAACGTCGCCCCCAGATCCCAGCACCAGGTTGCTCGACCGGAAGTCTATCCAAAAAGGGCGAGATTGGCCTGCTACTAAAGCATTTGAAGTACTTTGTGAATGTTGCAAAGTTTCGCTTCCGCCTCCCGTAGAACGATATATTCCTGAAACGCCACTATTGTAGAAGATTTTAAATCGATATCTCGCTGAGGTGGCCTGTGGCTTTTCATGAAGAATTACAGAAACACTTTGGGCAGCCTGTATTAGTACCGAGATGGATTTTCCGGACAGAGGGTGTGGTTCTGTTGTTTTTGCCGCTGGTAGAACAACAAAGCCACTCAGCTGATCTGAATAGAATAAGATAACAGGAGTTAGCGGGGATCAAAATGCCAAAAAGAACGTCTATTGAACAATACACCACACTCTTCCATTGTCTATACTGTAACAAAAGCTTTTATCTCTGCTAGAGTTTTATTTGATAAAGCAGGTCATAAACTGAAGGGCAGCTTGAGAGCTTATATTGACCTGCTAAAGCAATACTTAACAATTATTCCTCGCTGAGCCCTCCGGCCTCATGGGCTATTGACTCAGAGGCCATGAGGGCGGGAGGAATAATTGTTTTAGTAAAATCCAACTAGTTGGTCAAAAATACCGAGAATAAAACATTTTTAGCTAGTTAAAGCTAGACTTTAATCCTTTTTTGCCGTCAAAAAGGGCGCGCTTTTCGCTACTAGTAGGCTATAACATATAGCCTATTAGTAGCTCAACCAATCAGAACGCAGCATTGATAATAGACCACTAGCTGGATTTTACTAAATACATATAGACACACGCATGAAAGATAGGCCACAACACCGGGGGTCTCCGGCGTCCACATTCCCCCTAGACAGGTTTGATACTCTTCCTAAGTCACAATTAAAATACATACCACCCTTTCCCAGGCTCCTCGATTTCAGTTCGCGGTTTTTTTCCCGCCTGTTCGTACTTACTAAAAGCCTGGAACAGGCTAAAAGATACACATTTATCGTTCAAACAACAAACAAACCTGTAATACAGTTGTTGTGATAAAACTGGATTTCTTTGAAGCCGTTGTTAAGGGTGGTGTAAACGCTCTCCACTTCAACTTTTACTGAATCGGTCAAAATGTCAGCAAAGCTCCTTTCGTCCCAGACCGCATCGGCCAAATGATCAACACCTTGATTTTGAGTCAGTTCCACCTAGGGGGAAATCAAATCGATTTGATGACTTCTTCCCTTTTAAACGGTAAGGCTGAAGAGTTGTCTCTTGGTGTTGCGGAAACCATTGTTAGTTTGCTTTTGTTTTATGGTGTGGGTATTGTTAAGTGTCTTTTCAATCTTTTGTATGACCACGTCATTTGTAGTCTGCTACACAGCCGTTTTTAGTGTCTTCACAACGACTCTGAAAACGGCTGTGTAGCAGACCACGTCATTTGGTGATTGCACCCGACCGTGACGCCAAGAAACTATCAGTGAATAGAGAGCTTTAGATTTAAGACGAGGACGACAAGGAGAACGAGATGTTCTCAATACTTAAATAAGTAGTGCACGCGCGCAAAACAGCTTCATTTTGGCTTGAAATGTGGTAGCCGTCGTCACTCTACTACGAGTTTTAGCGAGAATGTCGTAGTAGCGAAAACAAGTTATCAAATGTTAGAAATATCATCATTTAGCGATCAGGAGAGGGCTTAACCTCCTTCAATGGAAACAAGCGAGCAAACTTTGGTGGTGAAAAAAAGTACTATGAGGTTTTTTATTTTAGAGAACGGGCGAGAAACTTTAAATTAAATGTCATTCTCGTAATCGTTCTCGTCCTCGAATCTAAAGGGGGCTTAGGGGCCGACCATTTAACTCTTGGGGGGGGGGGGGTGATTTCTGGTCATCAAGAATTTTTTTTCTAGCAATCTGGTGGGCAGGATATTTTTTTCCCTTTTTTTCCCATAAGTTTTCTATTACATTTGTGCTGCATGCAATTTTTTTTCTTCCGACAAGCGCTTGCAGGAAATTTTTTTCAAAATCACTTTTTTGGCTTTCAATAATTTTTTTTTTTGAAATTTGGTGGGCCAATTTTTTTTTTTCCTTTTTTTCCCTCAAGTTTTTTATTACTTTTGTGTTTCATGTAATTTTTTTTCTCCCCACAACCCCTTGAAGGAAATTTTTTTCAAAATCCCCCCCCCCCCCCCCTCAAAAGTTAAATGGTTGGTCCCTTAAGGCTTCAAACTTTACCGCGCTTATTCTACCTCGTTCAGTTTGTTAAATGTTGGCAATTTTTTCTGGATTTGAATTCTAAAAGACCTCACGTCGTTTGGTCTAGTACGACGAATAGGAATATCAATAAATTAAAGCATGTTCAAAATTTTGCAGCTAGGATCATAACCCGTTTTGTCTAAACGTGATGACATCACTCCTGTTCTTAGCTGTTCTTAGAGAACCAATTAAATGACTACCTGTTGCATCCATGTTTGTCTACAGAGATGGCATACTGGCTTTCAAGTATTTAAGGGGATTGGCTCCAGACCATCTGGCTAAAAAATTTAAAACGAGGCCCGAAATTCACAACAGTGACACGCGTAACAAGAATGAGATTGACATTCCAGGAGACAGAACTGCAGCAGGCCAAAGGTCCTTTCATTATTAGTCCGTTTCACTGTGGAACGCCCTACCCGAAAGGCTCACTGAGATAACAAACATTGCGGCATTCAAGAAGGAACTTATGCGTTATTTAAAATCGTCTCATTAAGCAGTCTATTTTTAAGACAGGGTTTCTTATATGGCTTTTGTTCTTTGTAACGGAGAGAATTTTCTTGTTAAAATCTTGCGAATATATTGTTTTACAGTTTTGTTTTTTAATGTTTTATACTTTTCTAATATTTTTATTCATAATGTTGATGTTATTACTTTGAAAAGCCATCCGTGGAAAGTAGTAAAGTTATTATCATTATTACTATTATTATTATTATTACTGTATCAAAGTTCAGGGAAAAAAGAGTAAAGTCGTCTTTTTTGTTCACGTCCTCCACAAAACGCGAAATATGGTATTTTCTCGTCGTAGTCGTGCAGTGACGGCAGAGAAATTTACAAAAAAGCGTGATGCACGTGCAAAGTTGTTGTTTTGCCAATTTAAACCTATTGGTTTTTTGCCGTTTTCGTTGACGTCGCCGTCGAGGTTGCTTAGGTTCCCTTAAAGCTCTCTAATTACACCATCGTTACGTCATTTCCGTATCTATAGGTTCAGCCAATGAACGCAAAGAAGCCTCGACCAATGAACGCCAAGAAATCACTCAGTTATTCTTAAAAACATAAAGACAAGGCAGATCAACAAAAATCTTTGGGAAAAACGGAAACTGTTCAGATTTTTTATGTGTACTATATTTTCGCCTTATTTCGATTTATGGCCGTGGAAGCAGCAACTTAATTTTTGGCGCACTTGTCACTGCCTAATGAAAAGCCTTGGTTTTTCCAAAATATCTTTTCTTTAAACTTTAACAGGGAAGTTAAATTAAATGTATGCATACACACCGATGTTTTAATTATGTACAGTCAGCTCTCTCTAAGATGAACATAACACCTCTGGTAACAGCACTAAGTGAACAACTTAGGGAGATCCCGGTCTTATAGTGAGCCAAATAAATGGAGTAAGCAAAGGCAGGGGCCAACTCCAGGTGTCCCTTTTACAGAGGTGTCTGTAAGGAGAGAGTCGACTTTGCTTCAGTGAGATACTCCTAAAACAGTATACACTATACTTGGAACCAGTGTGTGTCAGAAACCCTTGTGTTTTGGGCTCCTGTGAGTGTAAAATATTTTTTCTGCTTTATAAAAAGGCAGACTTTGCTTGTCTATTTCCATCCTGGCTTTACTGTCATCTTTCCTGTTTTATGTTGTAATCGGGGTTTAAAACATCACTACAACTATCAGAAAATATTCTGTGTTACTTACGTATTCTTCAGACCCATCCATAAAGGTAAGTTTAAGTCCTTTGCTTTGTTGAGCTGCGTAGGGTCTCTGCTTTACACGTATGGTGTTGATAACGAACTTTCGAGTGAAGTTAATCTGAACCCACGAGCCGACTCCGCCATTCCCATGCCACCATTCGTAACTGTCTGTACCGGCTTCTGCATTACCATCTATTACGCGGCTGCAGAAGTTATCGTTCAATGATGCACCGACACATTGTCCGCCAAAGGAAGCCAATGCAACATTAATATAAGCACAACGGAGGTGGTCTAGAAAGAAATTTTAGAAGATAGTTTAATCCGGAAGTACGGGAATCCAGGACAGTGTTGGATTCTGGATTCCAGGTGCTGGATTCCAAATTCTTTTTCAGTGGAACTTGGATTCTGGATTCAAATCGTTAGTGGGATTCCGGATTCCTTGAAATGTATTCCGGAGTCCAAAGCCCAATATTCCGGATTCCACATGCAAGAATTTCTCGGATTCCAGATTCCACAAGCAAGAATTTCTCGGGTTCCAGATTCCACAAGCAAGAATTTCCCTAGTTCCAGATTCCACAAGCAAGAATCTTCCGGATTCCAGATTCCACAAGATTCCGGATTCCTTAAGCAAGAATTTCCCGGATCCCAGATTCCACCAGCAAAAATTTCCCGGATTCCAGATTCCACAAGCAAGAATCTCCCGGATTCCAGATTCCACAAGCAAGAATTTCCCGGATTCCGGATTCCACAAGCAAAATTTCCCGGATTCCAGATTCCACAAGCAAAAATTTCCCGGATTCCCTTACATGGGGCGAAAAAACAATCAAAACAAAAACAAACGAACCAAAAAGGAAAGAAAAGAATTGAAGTCCGAGTTCTTAAGCTAAAAAATGTGCAAATCCGTTAAAGGCCTGCTAAGATTATAACCGGCTTATGATTCTGAAAGCGCTCAATTGAACATGAAACAAAAGGTACATGAAGCAGTTTTTTTCTCCATGTAATGGCACTGTTTACTTCTGATTTTAGCAAGATGTATCGAACAACTTGGATTGCTGGATAAAATATCAGTGTGAACTTCTTGAAAAAAGCAGCACATATTAAAAAAAAAACATGCATGAAGACAAACAAAAACGGTCATAACGACCTTTCTTTAGTTTCCTGCAAAGCATTGTTCAAGACATACAAGGCTCTGAATTGGCTAATAAAACTATTTTCAACGGTCGATTATTAAAAAAATGTCACGGTACTCAAAATATCTACAGAATAAAAGAAAGAAAAAAAAATTAGGAAAACGTCCTCGAATGGGTGAGAGTGAAGATAATTTTCTGTGGTAAGTATAATCAGCCCTCTATAAATCAATAAATCATCTCTGAATTACGTTAAAGGAATCACAAAAGGTTTGCATGGTGCTTATGATAAACAAAGAGTCTTCATTAAAAAAAAAAAAAGGTTTGATATATATCTTGCTTAATAATTGGATATTCAAGAGGAACTAAGAAAGTTATAGCACATATTTTCTGGGCTCTGAAACCGTTTATCGTGAGAGGAATCTTCTTTTAGTAAGCGAATTGCGAAGTGAATGGAATTCATTTTGGTAGCAGCAGCATATCGTTCGCTGCTACTCTAGACATTTTTCATAATTAATAACTTTACGATTTGCTTAAAGTTCAATAGCCGAGTTGTAACAATTAATCTCAAAATAGTACCGGTAGGCGAAAATAAACTTATGAATAAAAAACTAAACTTAATTTTCAGATTTTTGGTTAAAAAACCGTGGAAAAAAGCAATTTGGTTATTGCTAATATATTTAGTATATGGCAATGGGAAGATTCAAATTATCCTTTACAACTGAGGAGAGCGAGATACCTAGTCTTGTCTGCCAAGCACCAAGAAATACTGAAAATTTTAGAAGGCGACATGAAGAAGTCGCTGACACATGGCTGTATACTGTTTACATAAAGAAGCGTTTTATCACAAAGCTTCTAAATATGTTTCGTTTGAAACGAACAGGAAAAATGGGTCGCAAGTTCTCAAATAGTTCAAATTGGCCAATTAAGTAATTTTAACTCATAAGTTTATACAACATAAAAGGTACTAGCATGGAGTTAATTAAGTTTCATTCCAAAGATGTCGACAGACGCAGCGACACGGTAACAGAGATTAACTAGACAAGAAATGACTTATGTTTCAGATAACAAAAAATTACTGGAGCTTCTAGATAGATTTCGTAATACATCTAATACCTGGTACAACATAGTCTTGGCCCATACAGCTAGAAGCAGACGTATATGAAACCTGAGGGAAAAATTAGATCTATCAGTTTCCTTTCTATTTATTAAGACCAAACAAAGTTGTACCGAATAAAATGTACTTTTAGCTGATAAAAAGGTCAAACTTACCGAGAAAAAGAAGAATATAAGAACTGCACGCTCAAAACAAACAGCCCCGTTTCTCATCATACAGGAATTTTCCGCTACCTATCTCATACTCTGCGATTGATTTTTTTCTCTTAACTTTAGAAGTAATCGATTCAGCTGCCGTTGGAATCACAATTTGCACCACCAATCTATTTCGCACACTAGGTTTTCAAAATGTATCGATAGATGATAATCTCTGTCAAACACTTCACAAAGGAACCAGTTTCGATGAGACTATATTCTGCTGGCAAACACTGTGAATTACACTGCAAGGGGAATTGATTATTTGTGCTCAAGTGAAGATAGTTTAACGTCTTAGTAGGGAGTCTTTCAAAACGCTTAAATCACCTGCCAACTCAATCTAATTCCAGGGAATTTGCTAGCATCTAATTATGTTAATCTCGTAATGGTAGTTAATTCTTTTTCTCACCATAACAATTGAAGCACAGAAAGGGATAATTTAGGTGATTTAGACAACGTTATGGCAACTCTCCTTCGTTGTTCTGTGTTTATGGGAGCCATTTTATTATTTCGTCGCCCCGTAGCTACAAAGACAATGCATCTTCTATCTTAGACCGTCTGGTACCTCACACTCTCTGTACATCAAAAATGTTTTTTATTCTACAAAAAATGACCCAAGGCTAGAGAAAAACCTAGTTAATTAATCTCGTGACCATTAATCGAACGGTATTAAAAACACAACCTGAGAGGAAAAATACAACATTTTTTTTGCCCGAAAAAACCCAAGTTACATTCTTGTTTAAGAAAGGGAAAAGAAAGAAATTGGATGACATCATGGAAAATCCTTAGCACACGCAACCGACTGTTTAACCAAAGCTTTGTACGGAGAGTCATCAAATTTGGCCTCCTTTACATCTGCACAAAGTGCAGAATTTTATATTGCGTTGAACTTTTTAAAATACCCGTATGGTCCACTTGCGGATATCGCAAGAGAAATTAAATTGAAGAGAAATTAAAATACACGTATCCTGCCGGATCCAAGTGTAATCTCCCATTTATTACATTCTGGGGTCCGAAACTTCGTTTATGTTCAAATGGTTGGTATTCATTAATCAGTATTTATTCACTAGTTCAAATCCCCGAGAGAATCTGTGTCCAAAAACTGAGGGTCCAGAAATGGATTTTACAGAGAGCTCTTTAAACTCTTGGCATGATTTCATAGACAAAAGGGGGTGGGTGTCCTTGAAGCCCCACCCTGAGGGTCGGCGCTTCTCTCACAGAACCCCAACAGAGGCAAGCGACAAGGGCAGCAAGGTGTAATAATTGTAGACGGGATTTTGATGTCCGACTCGGAACCGCACCAAGTAGTATTCCAGAACGATCTATTTTTCTTCTTAGTACCTCTCAAAAGAGAGAACCTTTGTTTCAACATTTACAGTCAAACCTTTCCACAACGGTCACCTTGCCAGTGCAACCTCGTCCCCAGGGCTTTTCCCTTAAAAAATGGGTGGGGCGGCCAGGGGACAGAACGAAGAAAGTGGCCGTTGTGCAGAGGTGGCCGTTATGGGGAGGTAGGGGTGTAATATAACAAATTTTTTTAGGGAAATACAACATGTTTATTGTGCCAAGTTGATGGTTACTGTATGCCATAATGGTATACAGTTTAGAGGTAAAATAGACCAAAAAAAACTTAAATAATTTTTTTTAGTCTAAAATGTTAACATGATAAAACGAACAAGGATCGCAACATTCGCCGTAAGTATCGTAGACAGTTTATGCTTACTGCAGCAGAATAAATGGAAGACGATCAATATACGATTGCCGCGATTTAAAATCAACAACGGGCTATACGGATCAAATTTCGTGACCATTCCTGGATTTTTCGTCTTTTTCTTCGGTCGCTGAAAAAACTGGCCGTTGTCGAGTTTTTTTTCATGGCGGTTGGGTACGCGCTGCAGACAAAAACCTGTGAACTAGATCGACAAAATTAACGAATAGCATTTTAAAATTTAAGCTAAATCAAGAGTAGCTCACTGATATAAGTTCTCTCTTGGCTAAAAACTGGAGCATGTCACCTGGGTAACCTGTGCACAACATCAAGTGCATCATGGGTACAGTCGACGCGCGGGAAATTCGAGAAGCGCGCGCCACATTAGCACGAGATGGACTTGATTTTGGAAAACACAGTTGCTTCGTAACACGTTTAAATTCCGTCATTTAAACGCCAGTTATGACTGAACGTAAACAACAGCAATAACCACGATGACGGAGTTAAGGAGGGACCTCGCGAGGCAAGGTAAAATCTCAAAGTAAGCGAGTTAAAAAGCTGTATTTTCAGTCTAGCTATGTTGAACCTGCGGCTTGAACGAGCGATCACAAGGACAAATTAACTTATGTATAATCTTCTATTAATAGTAAACAGAGTTTATCTGTAAAAAGTTATCGAAAGCTTAAGTTTTAGCTTATGTAATAGCGAAAATTATACTAAAATATTCTATCTAGCGACGCATTGCTTTAAGATTTAACATTAGTTATACTGCTGTAGAGGTAACATCAGCTGCAGTTAAATCGTATTTTTGAATAGCACAAGGTACAGTGATCGTAACTTTTCACAGTAAGTGAATATAAACTTAGTATTCATTGATATTTGCGTTCAACTTAGTCAACTTAAAGCAGCAAAGTTCTTAAATTACCTTATGATTCCCTGTGAGGACTAGCGTGTCAATTTGCCAGGGAGAGGAGAGGGTGGTAGCCCCACCAGGGTGAAGATAGGCTCCTTTTTGGCTGTTTTAACTTGTTTACTAATTTTTTGATAAACATTTTTTTTTGATAAAAAAAATATTTCCATGTTACAATTACATGGAAATGTTGTTGTTACATTTCCAGGTTATATTTACATGTTACTTTTGTTCTCTAGTTTATTTTGTTGCTTGAAACTGTGTATATTAGTTTTTTATCTTGTCACCTTATAACAATGTCATTGTGACACCTACATGTTGTGTTAAAATCTTTTTACTAATTTTTATTCTTGAGTGTTCATTTGGTTTTATTGTGAATTTACTTAACATCTGGAACACATAATTATTGAAAAATGGGCAAAGCCATAACACACTCACCGATCACTGACACACTAAAAATTAATTATTAATAAAGTATAATAATTAAGCAAAAAAAAAAAAAGAAAACAGTCACACCTACACCTAACTTACCAAACACACCAATAGCTATAACAGCAACCCAATATCTAAATCGAAAGAAAATACAATTTCTCGACATTTAGATACAATATTCAAGATTCACATAATGGAGATGACATTGATTTCCACTGCAAGCCGGGGCTAATTCACCCCCCAAAATTGACCATAAAGTGTCCTAAATTTTGGTTAATTTACAACAACTTTGTTGGCTCTAACTCTTTCCTTATTAAACTTGGCCTGAAGGTACAAAATCGGCATATATTTGACATCAAACTATGATGTCACAATTTCCTGACATTATTCATACATAAATATTATTTTAAACTTTAGAATCTTTATATTTTTTAATATCAATTTTAAAGGAGCTATTCAAGGGGAGTTGAAAGCTAAAAATATGAAATCTCAAATCTCAAATATGAGCTGAGATATGACATTTTTAATTTGGATAAATTCAAAGGTAACACTATCTTATGTGTAGTGTAGGATGGGAAGGGGGATTGTCACCCCTCTACTATAAAACTTGCTGTTCAGTCCCTATTTCAAGTATACCTTCCTTCTCCCAGATATATTTGCATATTATTTTCCCCTTGTTTCTTAAGACAAATGCAACTGCCCCAAGCAGGGCCAGCCAATTACTAATTTATTATTCAAAACCTTACTTGAGGCTCAATGTGGGAGGTTCCAGGAAATTGTTATACCCCTCCCACAGAAAGTACTTTTCTTTTAGGAGCCCCCTTTCCCCACCCCTTTGAATTTGCCATTCCACTGGTCCTACCCTTGCACGCATAATTTCCCCAATTATAATATCAGTTTTCAGGTACCACCAGGAAAGAACATCTCTTGCTGTCATTTTTGACAAAGTTAATGATCGCATTCGTCAGGAGGCATCCTATTCTGGTGTTCCTGTGGCACAAAGGCAGAAATTTTTGAGCTATCACGTGCGACTGCCAATTAGCTGCCCCTATTAATCATCTCGGCCAGGAAACTGGACTCCTTTCAACTCAATTTCGTTTCTGTAAGTGACGAACACAGAAATGTATTGAATGATTGTACCTCTAGTAAATAATAATAATGTTGTAAACAGTAATAGAGTTTTTCTACTTAAAAGTTTGTTGATATTCAACTTTCCTGGAAAAAAGCTCCTGTTCATTGCCAGCAAGGAAGACTTTCAGGAAATAAAATTCCCAGCTAGTAATTGTCTGTAAATCATGTGTGGTAGATTGAAGGTTCCATCAGGTGTTGCTACATTAAACCAACTTTATTCATTGTAGTGTCATAGTACCTGGCATGTGTAAAATTTCTTAGCAAAGAAATCATCAAATTAAGCATATAGTCTTTTTCCTTACAAGTTAATGTTTAATGGAAGTGCAGTCCCCGACACACTAGCATTTTAAAGTTAACTTGAAAACACATAGAATCAAAGGAAACTAGACAATCTGGCATTTTCCTGAAATTGGTCTAAGGAGGTTTATTTTCTCTTCTGTCTAATAAGTATAAAAAGGAGAAAATTGCTCAAATATTATACAGAACCAAGGCCCAAAAACTGGTAAATGCCACTGTTTTATTAAATTCTAATCATTTTTATTTCGACTTCAGCCACCCACATAGGCATTATATTACATTTAGTAGGTACCTGTATGTCCATGCAATCCTTCACTATTGGCGGTACGGAAACTGTACTTAAACAAAGCCCACAAAATTGGGACTCTTTCACTAATGGAAAAGCTACATGTAAGGATGCAGTGTTTTTGCCCATGAACATGACTAATCCAAAGTTAGCTGCACAATGTAGAGAGATTTCACCAGAGCTAATATTTCAATAAACTGAGCATTTAAATATTGACTCCTCTTCTAAAACTGCAGGAATATTCATCAAACTTATTAATAAATGTGTATAGTCTAAGAGCAGCTTAAATGTAGTAAATACGTAACAAATAAATTAATTCTAAATGAATAATTTACATTTTAAATAATATTTAGACCATACACAAAAATGTAAACTGCTCTAGGATTGCTAGCCTTAATTTCCACACTGGTTCCCATCCTCCTCCTAAATTAGCAATGCAGGTAAATAAAACACCTGGCCCCAGTTGTTCAAACATTGGATAGCGCTATCCAATGGATAAATTGCTATCTAGGAGATAGCATACATCAGTGTAATTGGTTTTCCTAATACTTTTCTGCTGAATGGTGATTTATCTGGGCCTGGTTCCTGAGAGGCTGACTAGTGCTAATCCAGGATTAAAATTATGTTCTGAGTTTGTATTTTACCTTCCTATGTATTGCCTAGAGTAACATTTTGCGTTACCATTAAAGTATCTCAGAGTAAAGGCACAACAGTATTTGTAAGCTCCAGTTACATGTTCTTAGACAAGAAAACCTTGCTTAAAATTTGGCTTAATCCTGGGTTAAACTTAACAATCCTCATCTTTCAAGGAACCGGGCCCTGGTGAATAGCGCTATCCAACATTGATTTTAAATAACTGGGGTCTGGTGACAAAGCCTACATGATTGCAAGCAATAATATTTATTAAGGCTTGAAAAAAAAAACATCTACACGTACTTCTAACATCTACTTGTCCTGGCCAGACTACTAGATGGGACCTTTTTTGAGCCCTGTTCATAAGACAAATATTTCTATAACCAGTAAGTCTTAAGAGGCAAGTCTAACAAATCTGAAGTCAGCAACAACATAATTTGTAAATTCTGTAATAATAATTTTTGCAGTTTTATTATTGTTTTGGATAAACAATTTAGTGGGTGCTTCTTTGTTATCAATGTTATTGTATTTTGTATTCCTTACTTTCAACTAGCATGAGAAGTGAAACTATTTTTATGTGGAGAAGTAGATTTTTAATTCATTTGTTAATTTTTACCTTCATTTAAATTCATAATTTTAATTGTGTTGCATTGAAAGTTGCTGAAAGCTCATTAAAAATTTACGCTTTCAATAACTCCTTCCACCATTAAAATCCCCTAATGTCAGTGTGCCTGTTATGATTCAATTTTTTCTGTGATAAAAAATTCTACAGCAATCCTTTTTAATTTGATTTTGAAAACCATTTTTCAAGGTCATATGAAAAACACTGTATTATTTTCACCATTAGATATTATTCAACACTACAATCCTAGCAACTGGATGTATTTACTGTAATTTAAGCATCTTGCACTTTGAGTTTCAAATAATATGATAATAATGTAATTTTCATCTTATTCCTTTCACAAAATGAGTCTATATGAAAAACACTGTATTATTTTCACCATTAGATCTTATTCAACACTACAATCCTAGCAACTGGATGTATTTACTGTAATTTAAGCATCTTTCACTTTGAGTTTCAAATAATATGATAATGATGTAATTTTCATCTTATTCCTTTCACAAAATGAGTCTCATCTTCTCCATCTTCTTCTGCTCTAAGAGCTTCCATTAACCAGTCCGCCTGCAGGGGAATGTCTCCTGTCTCGCCATCCAAATTAATTTGTTGATATTCCATTAGTTTACCACCACTTCTGTCTCCATCAGGTAGGATAAGAATACACTGAAGCATGGCAAACACAAGGGCATAAATGCCGCATACCCCAGCAGCACAGCGAAACACAACTGTCGGCCCATGAAGCTGGTACAAAAGAGCTACGGCAATGCCACCTGTGCCCATACCCAAACCGTAGTAAACTGTTGAAAAGATAACCTTCATAGTCTTCTCAGTGCCTTGAAGTGATACAGTGGCTGCATACGATCCACATGCTGTGTGAACTGTTGTGTAAGAAAAACCACGGAGAAGTTCTATGGGGAGTATGAGCCAAGGATTTCTGAAGTAAGAAAAATAAAGGAAGCGACCTCCATAACAGAAAAGCGAAACAAATATCACCCAGTGATGACCAAAGCAGTGAATTAAGCGCTTTGAGATACACACTGTTGGAATTTCTGAGAAAGCTGATGTCACTATGATAGTTGCCATGACAACAATTGATGCTCCAATGTCCTGTAGATACCACATCATAAAGTTGTACATGAGAGACTCTGCCATGCCAAGCACCAGAAGCACAGCAAGAAAACAGATCATGTTTATGTCACAGCACAGATATGCAAAGGTTTTTCCAAACCTCAACGTCAAATGTGATTTCTTCTCATGCTCTTTTAGTAATACGCCGAGAAAAAAGGACAACACACTGAAGGAGGCAAAAATGTAAAAATGTAAGTAGAAACTGTTTTTTAAACCAAAATCACAATGGTGATATCCAATGGTAATTACTAGAACCCCACCGCCAAGAATTGTCCCAAGGGACGTCCAGACACTGGTGCACAATCGGGACCCCTGACTCTGTCGCATAATATCAGACGATATGCTTCTGCCAATAGAACTGATAGGAGATGAGAAAAGTTCACAAAAGAACACCAGGGTGAGAAGAACTTTAAAGGAGTGGTCTATTTTCAAACCGTACGCGAGGTACCATTCACTTTGTACTTCCAGTTGGGTAATGTTATTATGCAGGGATTCTTTGATAGTTAGTGAATTATTAACATGGTGTGCCAATAGTAACTTTGAATGAATTACTTGGTCTCCACTTGAATTGGAGTTAATGACTTCAAAGTTTTTAAAGTCATTTTCTAAAGGACCGTCCATGTTGTGGTTCATTACACCAGTGTCATGTAATTGTGTTGAAGCACCTCCGGGCGATGAAAGGTTCGATAATGATGTAACGATCGATTTGTCGATTACACCTGTTGGGTTGTTTATTCCTGAATTTTTCGTCGATGCATTCAAGGGACTAAAGTTTGATCCATTGACTCTTGATATAGTTCGATTAAAATCTAAATCAGAATCCCCTGCTCTCTTGCATACATATTTGCGAAAATTCGCTGCGTAATCATCTGTGTTTGTAAATCCCAAAGAAATATTAGAAATCACGGCAGCCAATAGAAGCGAGAGAAGAAAAAACTTTCGCTTGTTTGTCCTTTCGGCCAGAATCCTCAACAAAGGGGAAGCCCAAAAGTTTACCAACGGCCTTGTACATCCAAGAATTCCGGTCTGAAAAGCTGTAAGTCCGATGAAACGGAAATACATGGGCAGAAAGGGAAGGAGGCTGGCTTCGCCTGCCGACCAGAAGAGGGTGAAAATCCTCGATGGCAGAAGCGACCGGTTGCGTAAAGATTGATTGGTTCGGTGAAATCCTTGAGCCTCCATGATCCATTTGGTTGTTTGCTTAAAAAAATAAGCTCTCCCTTTACTCAAGAACGACTGCAATATATTTAAAATGTTCTTTTTCAACTAACGGACATGCATCAGCTGATCAAATTCACTTAAAACGTGGCGCGTGCCGGCTCGTGAATGTTCATTTGAATTTCGTGAAACGTGGCTAGTTCCCAGTTTCTCATTTTAGGGCGAGCGTAGGCCTGCAATGCGTTCTGTACAGTCGTCAATTAGCTTAAGGCCCAGTTCAGACGTCGTGCTTCTGCCGTGCCGAACTAAATTCAGGAATTAAGTTCGACAAAAGCACGGCAGAAGCACGGCGTCTGAATCAAACTTTTGAATTAAGTTCGGCAAGCAATTAAGTTTTGTATTTTGGCGAGATTGCGTTCCCACGGGGAGTTGGGACAAGAATTGTTACGAGGCATCAGTAAATCCTGAATTTGGTTCGGCTCTGGCACGACGTCTGAATCAAAGTTGTTTTCCTGCCGTGCTACAGTCGAACCAAATTACAATTAAGTTCGGCACGGCAGAAGCACGACGTCTGAACTGGGCCTAAGTTTGGCTATTTGTTGTGGCTGTTTGTTGTTGATAATGCGACCAGTTTACCGACAGGTTTACCCAATTCGCTCCTAGGAATTTCACCGAAAAACGCGCTTTGAAGCTAGTCAAGCAGTTTTCTGGTAACTCTCTGAGCTTGTCTTGCTACAAAGAACTAAAACTTGCCACAAAGCAGTTTACCGGTAGTACAGCTTCCGAAGTTCGGGCAAGCGCTTTTCGCTTTCTATCCTCACATTTTTTTGCTGGGTTTTTAATAGGCTACATTTCGGTGGGAAAAGTTTTTAGGGAAACTGGATCTAAGGATTAAATGAAAGGAAAGGTAGGTGGATAGTTGAACAAGATTTTCCTAGGAATTTTCGGGTCAAGGTTACATCGTTTTTTGCCTTAGTTTTTCTCCGGCCTCATTGACCGAATCGTGCCCATTATTGGGCTGCCCGTAAGTGCAAAGCCCAACAGAAAAATGTGGGCGCTTTCTTGTGCAGCAAGAAGACAATAGAAAACGGATCAGGTAAGGTTTCCTGTCCCCCTACGATGGGGCGGCACCTTTTTTATTAGCGAGGGGTGGGGAGGGTGGATCGTTAACTCAAAACAAAATCTTGTAAACAGACTTGTAAGGAAAACTAACATTCTTGTGTGACGGTATTAGTCCTATATTTAAACCTAAAAAATGGGAAAAAATCCGATACTACGATCAGTTTCTTTTAAGGTTTTTCTTCACTTTATTGTGAAACTTAAACCGAAGGTGATTGCAAATCTCCCTCTGCGAGTCGGTCTGCGTGCGCATCCTTTGAATGAGAATGTCTCTGAAGCTATCATGTGGCGCCTTATTCATTGTCTTCTTCAAAAAGATGGTAGGATAAGCCGCTATCGAGGTTTCACTTCATTGTACGAGAAAGTTCAAACGTTTTAAAAAGTGCTTTCTCTTCTAACATGTGACAGCAAAGTTCTCTCTGATGTCTATATTGCTCTTCTCTCCCTGCGTGTGGCAAGTCATTTCTTACAGGAAAGCAATATGCTATTTGAAAATCGCGCCATCAAATGGAAACAATTTCACTTGGATGGTCAAAGGGGCTTAAAATGCAACATCCGACAGAAACGAAACTTAAACTAAATTTACTGCTAACAGTCTTTCACCAAAATTTGACCCTGTCACGTTTTATAAACGTAGAACGACAATAATGTTTGGAATTTTTGGCTAGATCAAATTAGTCACGTAGTACTGTGATGCTATCTTAGGGCTTACTGCGTGACGAGCCAAAAGGACGGGACGTCTATACGCGGGAGGCTATATTTTTAGGGGCAGAGCTACAGAGGGATTCATGGGGAAAGGGTATGCGCTGCACCGGAAATGCCCCAGTTAAAAAGAGTGCCAATGGCTTCTTGCTAACTTGCCTATTTTTATCCATAATGGTAGAAGTTACGCCACATCCCCGACTTAAAAATGGTCCCGTATGCACAAACCGTATTTCGTAAACTGATATCTTGCAAACGGAATTGAAACGAAAACACCATTCTTGCGTGGAGTTAACATTTTTAGTCACGATTCATGACAATTCAGGACTAATTTAACTTAGACGATCATACAACTTCAAATGATAATATACTGATATAATTTATCTCTTTCCCATGACGGGATAGGAGTAGCTCTGCACTAAAGTTGGAAAAAGTGTGATTATAATCTATAATTCTCAAAATACAGTAAAAGTTTACATATAAGAACCTGGTGAATTAGGAACCTACAGGCTGAAATTTGTCATTTAAATACCCAAAAATAACCTGTTCAGCTTGGAAAAGAAAAATAGGTTATTATACAAAAAAAATCACTCCAGTTTTGATGGTTAAAATGAACCCCCTTTTTTGGAGGTCTTGTTCTAATGTGGTTTGAAACATCTCTTCACCCTGCACAATTTAACTGACTAAGTTGTCCTTGACCTTCGAAACTGATGACGTCTCCATGATCAGACTGAGTGTTGTTTCTCTTTATTCCTTAGTTTGATGGGATATTTATCTTTTGCATCTATTTCCGCCTTGGAGGCACCAAGAGAACAACTTTCATCATTGTTATAGTGTTATCCATTGTCAGTCAGCTTCCTGACACAGTGATCACCACTTCTCTCTTATTGGAATCACAATAAATCAAGAATCGATTCCTTTCGAGGAGTGCGGTGTGTTGTTATCACCTTGCAAGGCTCGAAATACTTTCCGGAGAGCCTTCAGACACGATGACCGGCCAAATTCATTTTAGCTCGGTCACTTATCGTTTCTGGCCGGTCAAATGTTAACTCTTAAAACAAGGGCCCATTAACCAAAAATGGCTTTATATATTCCAAAAAACAGCTATGGGTTCAGATATTTCGCGGGTTCGCAAAATTTGTTAGAAATCCTATCTAATACATGTCGATACAACATAACTGAAACTTCTCTCGGCTGTTGGGGCTGTTAATTGCCGTCACGTTCATCCCAACAACAAGCGAACAACGTTCCAAAACTACCAGGCATAAGTCATGTTGGGAACAACTGGGCACTAGTCATGATGTTCTAAAAAGCTTTCCCATTGGCTCATCTCTCGAGCGCTTTGTAGGTAAAATAGCAAGTTATTATCTCTGTTAAAAAACTTTAAACACGCTCGTCAAATCAGCGCAAAATCGATCGATTTCTAGCGAAATTTGTCCAGAAAATTCCACGAAATCGGCCGTTTTTACCTATTGTTTTTCGGCGAAGTTAGTCCCGAAAATCTCCGCGAAATTCCCGCGATATCAGCCGATTTTTTCTCGAATCTCTCTAAAAATCCCGCGAAACTTGACTTTTTTCTCCGCGACTAATCAGACGCTCTGTGTTGCTTGACTCATAAAAGTGAAAATATTCTTAATTTTTGTGACCGAAAGCGCGTGAACCCCAATGTCTGTTTCAATGCGCGAATTGTAAACAAGGTTTCCAGTTCTATTTCACCCAGGATTTCAGATCAACGTTTCGCAATGCACAGCGACTCGCTACATACTGATAACAACTGAAACAACTGATTTCATTTTCAATACGATCGATTGTGACCAGTCAACATGACCGGCGAGACGAAAAGTTGACTGGTCAACTCCCCAATCAGTCCGGACATTGTCCGTTGACCGGCGGTTATTTCGTGCCCTGCCTTGGACGAAAGCCTAATATTCCACGGAGAAATTTCAAAGTACTCAGTGTATCGCTTATCTCTAAAGCTGTAGTGCAAATATCACTAATACCAAAACCAAAAAAATGTTGAATATGACACAAATTCTCTTCATTTGTTTGAATACAACTGTCCAGATTTAGTACAGCGCAGCGAATGTTCATGTCGAAATTAGTGTTGATTGAAGAACTTCAAATTTTGTGAGTTGTGTTCTCGATTGCATATACTTCTAGCCCGAGTTTTGAAAACGTACCTAGCAAAATTTGCTGCCATATGATTGGAAAAGGGCCAAAAGGCAGGGGTTTTTTGCGTCCTATATGCCCAAAAATCACACGAGGAAAGGTAAAGGAAAGGAAAAATAGAAAGATCAAGGAGAAAGGAAGGAGGAGAAGAGAAAAACAGTAATTATTGCACTCTTAGTTTTTTCGAAAAAAGGCGGAAGAGGTCTATGCAGCGCTCTCGTTTTCATAAATCCAGCTGGACTTATATTTATTATTCACAATTCTTAACTGACGTTTGCAAGAGCATCAACTGTACGTTTTTAAATTTAAGGAACTCTTTTAAGAAACAAGTTCCGAGAAAAATGCTTGACAGATCTTGTTATGATTCTAGTAGGCCATTTCCGAGTTGCCCCTAGCCTTTGTTTCAAAGCGAGGCAGGCTAAGTGCGAACTAATGATATAAAAATGATTTTTATTCTCATGTAAGTAAAGCTCATTTTCAGAAGAAAGGTTTTGTATAGTTTTTTTAAACTCGGAAATGGCTTGTCACACTTTCTGTTTCACTAAATGCCACGTTGAGTCCGCCTTCAGTTACAGTTCTATGTACACGTGTTCAGCAATCCATTGCCGGCAGCTGTTATAATATTACAACGCATGTTGATGGCCGGAAAGAACTTGATTTGAGAAGTTAATGGATTGCTGGTTGCGTTGCTACGTGTAACAAGGTTAGTCCCTCTTTTCGATTAGTTATTTGTCTGGAAAACACCTGCCAAAGTTTGGCTTTTCAGCATAAACATCACCTCGCTCAACCCAACGTCCCATGGATAAACGTATGACAAGTATGAATATAGTCCTTGGTTACATCTTCCACTCAATTCAATTTGTAAAAGTTTTCACCAGTTAGTAAGAAATGTCGTGATTTGTGTCCCTCGTTAATGGAAAGTACTCTCTTCATTGTTGCTTTTGGATGAGGCCATCAAGAAAGAAGTAGATTTAATGAAAATTTAGAAGATGTAGCAAATGTAAAGTTTACTTAAGCTTAAACATTTTGAAATCTAGTGCGATAAGTGTTGGTACATATTTGGACAGGTATTCCAGAAAAAGAAAACTTTCTTACAAGGTTCGACAGCTATTTTATCACAAAGTGCGACGATTATTACAAAGTATGACAGAACGATTTCTTTTTTTATTTCAGTTTTTTTCATAATAGTTAACATTGAAACTACAACAGCGCACGGCTGTAGTACCGGAAGGAAAGCGGTTCGAAGTTGCTGTTATGTAGATTCGGTGTTTATGTAGCCGGGTTCAGCAAACTTTGTTATGTCTGCCCAGTCCTGTTCCAGACTATTAGAGGAATTAGTAACACTCGTTCGCAATGAGAGAGATTTTATGGTGACTTTTAGTGTTTTACATTTGTTGTTTTCTCCGATGGCAGCTCTTGGAAACGTGTTAGTTCTTCACGCCTTGTCGAAATCCTCATCGATACCCGCTAATGCCAAGAAAATGTTTTCAAGCCTCGCTTGTTCGGACATTGCTGTGGGAATGTTGTCGCAACCGTTGATGGGGGCTATTATAGCCGTGGGGTTGCAAATGGCATCGACGGACGACCAGGACCGCACCGACTTACTCTGTCCAGCGATTTTGCCTGCGTTCTATTTCCCCGTCGTTCTACTTGGATGTGCATCCTTTCTGAATATGATCGCAATTGCTGCCGATGCACTTCTCGCTATTTTGCTCCATCTTCGATACCAAGAACTAGTCACTTCGAAACGTGTCATTATAGCCCTGGTATCTCTATGGTTAACAAGTGCCGTCTCTGCCTTAGTATATATTTCACTCCCCGAAGGCAATGACATGGTAACTGGACTCTCATTTGTAGGCCTTGTCTTGACGACTGCAACCTACGTTTATATTTGCAAAGTTGTTCGACATCACCAAAATCAAATAGTAGGCCAACATCAGATACAAAATAGCCAAGCAGTGGAGGTACTACGACAAAAGAAGATCGCTTATAATGTCATATTTCTCTTCCTTGTTTTCCTAGCCTGTTACCTTCCGTATTGTTCGTCTGAAATTGTGCTTATAACTAACAAAAGTTTGCCAAGTTTAAAAGCTAAGGCGGTTTCAATTTTCCTTGTTCTTCTAAATTCTTCATTAAATCCGCTCATTTACTGTTGGCGATATCGAGAATTACGCAAAATCGTGAAAAGTACCTTGAAGAAAGTAATGTGCATAAACGAGGAAGAGACATGAAGCAGAAAAAGAACTCCATCTATCAAGTAAATTTTGTAAACCAGGGCACGTTTCATTTTTTTGTTAAATGTACATTTGCCCAAAGAAGGGCACAGGGTTTGCTCTTTGTGAAAAAATAAATTTGATGAAATAGCAACCTCACTGTTCTGTTATTACATGTAACAACACTTTAATTTTAATAATACTACTAATAATAACAATAACAACAGCAATAATAATAAGCAAACGATCTCTTTCAGAAAATATTGAATATAATTGCATAGAAGGTGAAAAGGTGAGGAGATGGCTTTTTTCTGCAGCAATTTGGATCGTGTAGTTGGCTAAACGTCTGCTAATTGGTCACTTATGGTCCACTGATGCTAGCACCTCTTTCCACTGTTCTATAAATTTTGACTTAATGTTTCTTCTATCAGCGATACGGGCATCTCGTTCATTTGGATCCCAAAGTTGGCTGAAGGTCTGCTAATTGGTCACTAATGGTCCTCTAATGCTAGGAACACTTTTCCACCGTTCTATTCATTTTGAGCCACTCTAACCAACCAATAAGGTGGCGTCCTGAAAATAACCACACAATAGATTGGAAATAATTTTCGTGGGAAGAGAGTCATGTATGGGGGATTCGATCTCTTAGCTTATTCTCTCTTGAATCCCTGTTATAGATTAGAGCCTGTATGTTTTTCCAAATGAATTTATTTACCTTAGATGACAAGACGGAGCGTAAGTGACTAAGGCGGAAAAGATATGAAATTACCAGTTCAGGATTTTGTTCTTTGAGAATTTTTCTTTTGAGTAAAAAAGGTTAACGACTGAGAAGATTTAGTACCTACATCTTGCTTGGTTGAGTCATTTTTTAGACCTTTGCATTACCGAACCCTTAATTAATGTCTTTTACTTTATGGCTACAATAGTACGCACGCTCTGATAGGCTGCTGCTCTGATTTGTCAGTTGACAGCTGTCAAAGGGGTAACCGCTGACCAGTGCTATTAATTGGCATTTTGGTTGGGAATTACTTGTTTCAGTACTTTTGTTTAATTTTCGCAGTGTACGGTAAAATGTGCTACCATTTGTTCCAAGGAAAATCGAAGAAAAAAAAAAAAAACTTCAACTATGCAGTGAAAAATGCAGTTCGGGGCGAAACCCTTACAATCTCAGTCTTTTCGCAACCAAGTGAGCGATTAATATTTAATTTCTTTGGTTTCATTTATTTGCAATCATCTCAGTTAATCTGTGCACAGAGAACACTCACTCGCAGTAGGACTGCAAGATAAGAAGAACCCTTGGTCCAGACGTAATTTTGATTTTTTAGTGTACAAAAGTTGACTTTTTTGTATTTATGTCTTTAACATAATTCAAAATAACATTAGATTAAACTTTACAATAACAGGGCGAAGAAAGGAGGGCAAAACAGTAAAAAAAAAAGCTAAATACGAAAGTTCAACAGTTTAACAACTGGAAGAACAAATAGAAAAATAATAGAGCGCGCGTTTGCTAAATTGCTATAAATATACACTAATCAGAAATGCAGGAGGTGGTCCACTTATTTCTGTATTTGTTAAGACTTCCGTTTGTTATTGCAATTTCTCTTTCGCACTGGATTTTAATTTCCAGGAGAACAATGACAACCTCCAGTTCTGGGGTCTCAAACTTGTTTCTAGCTAAGTAAACGTCATATCACGTTCCGTCTTCAAAAGGTGACTTGCTTAACTCTTTCAATGCCAAGGGGCAAAATTCAACAATTTTCCAGGGTTGTCAAAAGTAGCCAGCTGCCGGCGAAAATCGCCGCCTACTTGGTTAGTATCGGCCGGCTACTCTGCTTAGAACTACCTTAAGGGACTCCAACATTCACTCTGGCAGTGAAAGGGTTAAAGATGCGGGATGGATGAGGAAATGCGTAAAAATACAATTGCAGCAATTACTCCCTTTATGATAAGTGATCGTGATGTTTCTTTATATGAAACTTGACCAAATTACAGTAATAGTTAAGTAATTAAACGTTTACTCGTAAAAGTGTCTGCTTTAGTCTTTATATCCACAAAACATGAGTCCGTGGCGTTTCTTCTGAGGGCCCTTTTAATACGGACACTCGGATGTTACAGTCACCATGCCATGTCTTCTTGGTGTCCGTATTGATCATTCTACTGTAAAACCAAATTTTCATATTTCTTTTTTACGGAGTACTTCAGTTCCTTTTGATACTAAACCTTCCATTTTCTCTGTGCTTTCCCCTCAGATCCGTAAGCGCATGATCTGGACTCTCTCTGAAATTACAGTGGACAAGATTGGAACCGTCAGAGAAACTGCGCATGCTCTGTCTATGCTCTCCGCTGTTCCTGATGAATGTGATACTGAGACCCAGGTGTCTATTGATTTAACCAGTTCAACATTTTACCAAATATAAGCGAGTTCTAACTAGACGAATTGTAAGTAAGCCCCTTTAGCTTTCTTTTGTGGTTTAATTAACTGTAGGTAAGGGGAAGATACACCGCTGATAAGAATAATAAATATATGTTGCCTACTAAACTCCGGGCAGGAATAAACTGTAGTTTCAGATAAACACCGCCTTCTAGGTTAAATCTGAAATAAACGCCAGGCTTTTTAATTGAGAAAATAAGTTACTTCAAAAAACGTCTTTATATTTTCAAGAATTGTTTTATATTATTTTACCTGGTGCTAAATGGTCACAATATGGTATTCTAAATTGAACTATGATTCAAATACAGACCACATCACTCTACTGTAGGATTATTAGCGAGTGAACACTGCCTACCCTGTTGTGATCACATTTCTATTTTCTCATAAATAGTATAGAAAAAAATGAGTAAAGGACTAAACATCATCATCATCATCATCATCATCATCATCATCATCATCATCATCATCAACTTTATTAGGGTGTCTAAGCGTTCTTGCGCTTCTTAGCGCTAATTGGGCTCACATAACAAGTAGCGTTTATTTACTTTACGCAGTTGCGACTGAATGAGACTCTTTACAATATGGTGGCATTGGTTATGGAGCAGACTTCTTTGGTGGACTCCACTGATCTTAGGGGGACGCTTGACTCTATAGCCGAAGGCCTTGGTAACTCAGTGGCTGTTGTATCGCATTTCCTGGCTGGTAAAATCCTCGGAAAAACCACGGTTAACAATTCACTGGCTCTCTCTGGAAACTACAGTGAAACAGTGAGTACCCTCTTGTTTAGTAACCCTTTATACGTTATGGCTTTTTGTAGCCTGTTCCAGATAGGGGGGAAAGCGGATAGAGAAAGGTAAACGAAAAACGCGTAGGGGCTGGGGAGATACGGTGAAGTGGAGCATGTAGGCATGCATTGTTTTCAATTCCTCATTCCGCTAAACCAGCTCCTGGTGTATATACCCTATGATTGGTCAATTTTGACCATCTGCGTCAACACTTACGTCGATCACTTGGCTTCGCGCGCAGAGTCTAACAAGTAAGGGGTCCTCGTCGACGAAGCCGTCACCTTCATGGACAAGAGATCTGGGCACGCAATTAATCAACACAAGCTTTCATATCAACAAGAGTCATCCGATGCGAATAATTTATCTCGGTAGCCTCGGCTTAATTAAGGACCTGCTTACATGAAGGTGGGGAACCCCAGGTAGGTGAGGTAACCAGCTTAAGTGAGGTAACCCGCCTGTCCACATAATCTCTCATTTTAATTTGATTACGTTTACATGATAGGTGGGGTGACCCGCCGCATGTTACCTCACCTATCTGGGGTCCCCCACCTCAATATAAACACGCTGTAAGTGTTGTTAACTGTCAACATGATCATTTGACTCCTCAGACAATGCGACCTTTACTCTTGAATTATTTTGTCAAACAGCAACAAGCTCTATTTTTAACTGGCTAATTGTGATAACTTGATAAGTCCATTACATAAACGTCATAGTTTAGCCTGCAATTGTGAACGTCCAGGAAACATTTCTTGCGCGATTTAGGTTTTAGGCTTTTTCCTCTTCATCACTGAAGGCCTCTATTAAGGGTGCCCACACTAAAGAGTGCGTGTGCACGCGCGCAAACAGTTCGAGGGAAACGTGAAGCGTTAAGTTACGCTAAAATCTGTATCCACTCTTTTACGTGGGAGAATGGTGCCGAGGATGAAAGTGAGTCTGGCTTACGCACGCTTTCTTTCGCCTGATAGCTTTACGGCGGCTCGCAGACTACTCGTAGCTGTGATGGTGGCAATAAAGTTAAATTGTTATCCTCTGGCCCAGTATTGCTTCCGCCGGGAGTGACATCTCGAGAATCGGTATCGTTCTCGCGCATTGATTAATTACAATCTGGTTTCCATTGTATCATTGTCCAACGCCAGGATCGCAGGTCTTGCTCTACTCTCCGTTGCACTCACAATGTTGGGTCTTTTATATTTTTCTAGCTCACTTGTAGACGAGTTAAGAGTTTGTTTTTTTCTGTAACAGTACAAGAATAGGGCGTCTTTAAAGTCAGGGATTCGTAAAGCGTATAAAAGTGGATTCACAAAAGAGTTGGAAAAATTTAACATATTCGCTAAGTAGTAAAACCGTCCACTTACTAGCGAGGGACGGACGAAGATGACCGCGTTCATAGCAATTAGCGGGAGCCAAGATAACAGAGCAATAAATGACACAAGAAGCAAAGTTTTTGTCAGGCGTTTGCTTTGATTGACTCTGTTTGGCTGTTTTAAAGTAGTATATCCTCTTTGAACCTTTCTCCAAATGGCGATGTTCCATCCACATATTGAGCAGGTCATAATTACAGTGTAGGGCAACCAAAAATACACGAATCCTCTGTACGAAGTAGTTTCGAACAGTGCAAAAAGTATCGCAGAAACTATCGAGGCAAGAATCCACGTTAGGCAAATTAACGCACGATATGCTCGCTGTGATAGTGTTCGATGCTTGAATGGGTGATATGTGGCGTAAAATCTCTCACCTGATATCATGGCCGCCGAAATTAGAGATAACTGCATGAAGAGGTCGTCAAAAAATCGGTAAAACCTCTCCGACGAAGTGCTCCACTGCGCTTTCCATAAATGATGCTCTTTTCCTAGTAAGTAGATGTAGATTGGTAAGGACACCGCTCCTAACATCAAGTCTGCAAACGCCATATTGACGACCAGAAACAGACTTTTCTTCCTAAGTCTCTTCTTGGCTACAAAAAGGATAATGGTAAGGAGATTTCCAAGGACGATTGAGATGAGTATTAGGGCAAAGCAAACACAGAACCCGATTCCTTCTGCTTTGGAAATAGCGCTGCCCATCGACGCCCAAGTCTCATTTTCAAATACACGGATAGTAACTGTTGAGATATTCATTACAACCTTTATCGATGAAGTCTTTGACATGTGAAATTGCGCTTCTTAAGTTTATGTCTGCTATTGATATAAATATGCCAACCAGAAACTATTGGGGTTACTTTGTTACGGTGGTTGATATATTTGAATAACAAAAACTATGTTTACAAACATTAATTATCACTATTAGCACAGGATGTTGGTCTGTTCAAGAATCGATTAATAATCAGTTGCAAGTATAAATCGATTGGTGTTGAAGTAATTTTTTCATGAAGGTAACAGCAAATGTGAGCAAAAATGATTAAACGTTAAATGATCTAATTCCAATTGTTGACAGCTGCAGTGTTTTATTGCTTTCTTGATGAGGTGAAAAATACTCTAATATTAATCTATCCGGCGTTCTTGTTAGGTGTAATTCCTCGTGTTTTTCTCTGTTTTCAACTAAATACCCATCCCTGGCTCATCCTTGATAATCTCCACTACACACTGAAGGGATATATTAGCTGATATATCCCTCGAGATTTTCATAAGCTTGGGTTTTCAAATTGGCCTTTTTTCTAAAATGAATAATGAGTGTGATAATATCGATCGTCAAAACAAATCCTCGTGGACGCGCATCAAGCTTTTTAGCACCTTATTATAATTATCCTGGTTCTTCTTCTTTTTTTGGTAGTCTTTGGAGTAAGAGCCATATGCAAGATAAAAGGAAATAGAAGTATAAAGAAAACAACCATTAATCTGTTTAAACTAAAGACAAAAAATTGAAACCATAAGACATATTTAAGGATTCTCGAGCCTTGATTGTTTGAATACCAATAATTAAACCCTAACCTCACCAATGTCGTCAAAAGCGCAATCAAGATCCTTCGCAAAGACAGCTGAAGTGTAGTACGAGAGGACAAACCCTCGCAGGGGCTAGTCCATAAAAAATTATTTTCACTTGTATAATTTCCACTTTTGAATGGATTTCTCACTGACTTAATGCGCGGTGTTCTTCGTTAACAAGAGTTCACTGATAAATCTAATTCACGCGGTGTCTTTAGCTTACGAAATAAATAATTCAGCCACGGAATAAGACCACACTCGAATTGTCAAAACCTAGCCTTAGCGACGCTCATCAAGCTTTCGGTTTCTCATCTTGTTGACTGCCAGTTAAAATAACAGGCCAATTGCGTCCCGACGTTATAAATTTTTAACAAGCGGCATGACTAAAGTAGAAGGAGGCGCTATAAAATAATGGTGAAGACAGGTGATTTTGAACTTGCATGAAAGGCTTTTCAAGTTTATATATTTTTTTCTGTCTTATATTTGTATAAAACCTCTAATAAATACGAAGCAGAGGTAAAACGATAGCAAAGAGAGGAAATTCTCTCTTGTCTGTTTTCGAACCTTTAATAAGCTTGCCTAAATTACCCTATTAGCGCTCTGTTCGCTATTATTAACTCTGTCAAATGAGAAAAAAAAAACATTTGTGTACAGATCTTATGAGTTTTTGTAACAAGCGACGTGACTAAAGTAAGGTGACGACCTAAAACTAAAGGTGAATCAAAGTGGGCTAGCATGTTCATATACTTTCAAAGTTAACGGTTTTTTCCTTTCAATTATGCATACCACCTCTAGTAAACACAAAACAGCAGTAAAACGAGAGGAGATTCCTTCTTGTTTTCGCGTTTCCACCCACTTCAACTTTGTGAAACATTTGTCTTCGAATTTAATGATAATGATAATGAATTTGTATAGCTCTAGAACTATAAGATATTCAAAAGCGCTTTACATTAAGTTACAATTAAAAAAATTCCTAAAAAGCTAATAATAATAATAATAATAATAATAATAATAATGATAAAATTTCCAAGCTATGCTAAAATTTAATGTTAAAAGGATACCTCGATGCCTCCAGCTTCCATGTCCCCTGTTTATACTAAGAGCCGCGGAGTGAGGGTGAATCATCCGTTGCACAAATTCGATCTAGTATACCAAAAACCGATACAGCACTAGGTATATATCACTTCTACGAGCGTTGCATTGTAGGAGCGCTTCCAATGTGCCGAAAACGGATTTTATGACGGAACAGAAGGCCTATCCAATATGGTTTTGGAGACAGGACGAAAGATTTCCAGTATATCCTTAAAGGCCCCTCCATCATTTATAAAAGCTGTTACTGGTTGAAACTCTCGTGTGAAGTATTTCCCCGCTTTTTATTAGAGTCTTCTTTGCGTAGGGACCTGAGAGCATGAAGTATAATATCAGGTGCTAAAACTTGCAAAACTGAAAAAAAGAAAAGAAAAGAGAAAGACTGAAAGAAAAGAGAGAAAGGGAGAAAAAAGTAGACCGCACTTGGTTCGTCATAACTCATATTTTTATTCACGACCTCACCATTGTTTCATTTAAGCATGATCGCTTATCCTACTTTAAAAAGACACAAACAAATAAAACAAAAACACAAAAGGTCAAAATCTTGCAATGAAAATGTAAAGTTAAGGGTATTTACATCATAATGACAATTTTAGAGGTAGCATGTTCACATAGTGGCTCTTCGTCTAACTGATTCCTTGTCGAATTGAAATTTGCGGGAATTGTTTATTTTTGGGGCGGATTACCCGGAGACAAACCGCTCGGAGCAAAGGAGAGAACCAACAACGAACTCAACCCAAATATAGCGTCGACGCTGGTATTTGAACCCGAGCCACATTGGTGGGAGGCGAGTGCTCTCATCACTGCGCCAGCCTTGCTGCCCAGTTTCAAGAGTGTGTGAAGTTCTTTAACTAGAAATACTTGGATCGCAGAATCTCGCGAAGCTCGGGGGAGGCCCATAAAATATCAGGGATGGTAAGGCGAAAGAGAAAGGAGTTTCGCTGGTATTTTGTCGATGCCTTTGTACATGTT